GGAAGATTGCGAATAGCAACTGAATAATGACCACTAATGATTGGTTACTCCCATTTAGTTGTCACAGTAAAAAAGTTTTAAGTTTTAAAATGAACGTAAAAAAGTTTTGCTGATCTATAAACTTTTGTTGAGTAATTTACTTTTTTCTTATTTAGAAAAATTTTAATCTTTGAGTTTTAGAAGCAAAATATTCTGCATTCCAAAGATTGTTCCCATTGAGCTGTGATTTTTTTTTCTATTATTGGGGTGCTTGAAAATATAATATATTAACTGTCTTCTGATTTTATTTTATTTTTTGTCTCAAAGAAAAGTGAATTATCATTAATTATCATTAGTATAATTCAAAACTAAGAATTTGACCTTAAAATTTACTGAAGACAGTTGCCTTGAAATGATTAGGTTTCGCAACTATTTTTTACAGCGTATGCAGATAGTATTGGTTTAGATATGTCTGCCTGTGACATTTCTGCCTCCATCCCAATACAATGTAGGTGAATAGAGCTATTAAACAATATAAGGCATTCACAATAAGTGCACAGAGATGACTGCAAACACACACTCTCTCTCTCTCTCTCTCTCTCTTCCAGTCGTGGTGGAAAAAGAGGCGGGGGTGTAATGGCTTGGTCTGGCATAGTTGGAAATGTTAGCACCTGACTGAGCTGCTTTTCCACAGTGAGTGCACAAATATATCCAGCTCCATCTCTCCTGTCTGTCTCTAGAAGAAAATCCCTCCATTCTTTCCCACTTGCCCCATATTGATATGACTTCACACACTCATGATGGCATTGTTGAGTATGTATTTATTTTTACATTTTGAGTTCCACTATATGGAATACAGTAGACTTGTGATATACTGTTTTTACCAGGATATTTAGACAAATGGCTGCCACATGAGCATCATCGTTGCATCATTGAAGTGTACCTGGAGAATTAAAAAGTACACCTATATGTCCTAACTCCAAACAGATTCTATCTTATCTATTTTAAAGCTGCAGCAGGTCACTTTTATAAAAATAACTTTTGTCATATTTGCTGAAACCTTCACTATATCCTGACAGTAGGACACTAGACAGATGATCTGTGAAAAAATCTGGTTCCTCTTGCTCCTCCTAGTGCTCCTAATGGTGTTTGTAAGAATCCACTGGGTCTGCATGAAAACAACCAATCAGAGCTGAGAAAGATAGAAACACGCTTTGGGTTGGAGATTGAAGAGAGTTGATTGTTGAGTCTCATTCCCAGCATTGTTATTCTACAAACTGGGAATGAGAGAATTAACTTTGAATCCTTTCTTCAAACCTGATTTTTTCACAGATACTACTATAGCTTTAACTAACAGGAGTATGATGCTAGAGCTGTGTGTTTTCAGGCCATGTGTCAGGCAGATGAACCTCTAGCATTAAGTTTTTTTTTTTATACTGTTTTATAATTTTTATTAAAAGTTTACTTGCAATCAAGCCTGATGAAATTAATCAGTTATCTAAATTACAAACATGTCTTCAGGACATAAAAACCTGGATGAGCTCCAATTTTCTGATGTTAAAACTGAAATTCTTGTACTTGGCCCCAAACAACTCTGAAACTCACTGTCTAAAGATATAGTTACTCTAGATGGCATTACCTTGGCCTCTAGCACCACTGTCAGGAATCTTGGAGTTATCTTTGATCAGGATTTGTCATTTAATTCCCACATAAAGCAGACCTCTAGGACTGCCTTCTTTCATTTACGTAATATTACAAAAATTAGACACATACTATCACAGACAGATGCAGAAAAACTAATCCATGCATTTGTTACTTCAAGGCTGGATTACTGCAACTCTTTATTATCAGGTTGCCCCAATAAGTCCATTAAAACGCTCCAATTAATTCAGAACGCTGCAGCACGAGTACTGACAGGAACTAGAAAAAGAGATCACATCTCTCCTGTACTAGCTTCTCTGCACTGGCTCCCTGTAAAATGTAGAATAGAATTTACCAAGTTACCAAGCTCCTCTCCTGTGGAACCAGCTTCCAGTTGTGGTTCGGGAGGCAGACACCCTCACCACATTCAAGAGTAGGCTTAAGACATTCCTCTTTGATAAAGCTTATAGTTAGGGCTGGATCAGGTGAGTCCTGAACCATCCCTTAGTTATGCTGCTATAGGCCTAGACTATCGGGTGGTGGAGCCTCCTGCCATGGTCGTGCTTGACTGCCATTGCTAATATCACTGATATTATTGTTATTATTATTATTACAGTTACTATTATTACTATTGTCACTGCTCATTGTTCCCCATCGTTGCTGTTGTCATCATCATCATCTTCTTCATGTTCATCATCAGTCACTACTATTAGTGTAGTTGTTGCTACTGTTGTTGCTGTGCAACTGTCTGTCTGTCTGTCTGTCTGTCTGTCTGTCTGTCTCTGTCTCTGTCTCTGTCTTTCTCACCCCAACTGGACATCGTATTTCACTCATTTTATTGTACATTATTATACTTATTATACTACAACTAAAACATGATAAATGGTTTTCTTATTCTCATTCTTGTGGTTCTGTTTAGCCAATTTATAGTACTTAGTTAAGGTTAGCAAAAGATCGCAGTCTGGATTAAATATTGAAAAAGTGAGACAGAAAGTGTTTACCAGTCCTTCCAGGAAGTTACGATTTTACAATTGCAGCAATTAACACAAATTTAAGCAATCCATGTGACTTCTGTGCAACCTTGCAAATATAAGTGGATTAAACTGCTTTCCATTCCATTCCATTATTTTTTTAAATGTTCACTTTCTCAAAAAATGCCTCAAAAACATGAAATATGCATCACAATTTTTTAGAAGCCCATTTCTCAGATTGGGCTTGAGCCAAATACTATAAGAGAAAGCCAGGGTTACCAACAAGAAAGGGTCTGATGAAAACATGCTTATGGTTGCAATACAGGAGATGTAGGATTCAGTGTTTCTTGAGCTTGACCCATACAGGGGATGAAAAATCAGGCCTCTGCTGCTTTTAACATTGTCCCCCTCACTCACAAGACAATGTGCGATAAGTACACCTTTGAAGGATATATCTGGTGGTATAATTTTCATCAAATCTCATGTACAGGCTCGAACCAGCAGTGAATGTATCTAATAACAAATGTTGTATCAAAGCCTGATATATCTCCTTCCTCTGTGCCATAGAGCTCCAAAAGTCCAAAACCACATCAGTGAGCAGCACTGTTGCAAGTTCCTTTATTATGAATAAACACTAGTTTATTAGGACTCAATCCCACATACATCATCCTGCTGCCCCAAATACTCACTAGAGCACAAAATGTGGATTCATCCCCCACGGAAAATATTCCACAGCAAATGCACTATTTCCTTCTGTTTGAGAAACATTTATTAATCATCATCTTTAAAATCTCCATCATCATTATTAGTCATACTTTATTTCTACTATTATAGTTGGCACTGTTAATATAGCTGTCCTTCTCTCTCAGGGTAGATATAAGAAACACATTTGTTGACATTAACAAAAAAAAATCTTCTTATTGTAGCATGCCTTATCTTTTAAGAGCGTATAAGTGTCCAGCTGGACTTTAGAGTTGACTCTAAAGTAATACTTGGCCCCATAAAGACTTGACTTGAGACATAAAAACAAAAACAAGTCCCAAATTTTGACCAGTTAAAAAATAAAGAAACTCCAGGAAAACCTTGCATAGACACCACTTTAATATTTTTATTATTATTGTTTTAATTCTATACCCACACACTGACAATTTTAATGGTCAGCATTACACACAACCTTAAATGTTCCTTCTGCTTCCCCTCATCTGACTTCACCACCACATCTGACCTTCTGCATCCTTCAACCCTAATTAGCACACACACACACACACACACACACACACACACACACACACACACACACACACACACATTGGCGGACGTCTTAGTAACAGTGTCATTTGCAGGGCATCAGAGGCCTGTGGTGAGGGACTTCATGGAAACACACTTACTGTGGAAAATACAATACAGCATAATCTGATTGTCTTTGTGTCTGTTGCTTCCCCCACCTGTCACACACAAACACACATACAGTTTTTACTGTATCCGCTGGCCTGATTTTGTAGCCTAATAATAGGCCTCATGTCTTGACAGCAGCTAAATCCAGCAGCGCTGTCTTGTATTACTGACACACTGTGAGATGGAGAGCTGCCCTCATGCCTAATATAACAGCTTTCCATGTATTTATAGGCCTGCAGGAAGTCAGAATAGCATCTGTGTGTATTGAAAATGAACCTGGCTGACTGGTTGGGAATATTTAGACCTTGTTCCACAGACAAGTTACTATTCATAGTATTCCATTCCATTACATCACAACAGAGCCATTCTGGTGGGCAAACAACAGGTGCTCAGACTCTTACTACAGGTGTAGGGCAGGGCAAGTGTTTGCAGCATTGTGATAGCGAGTTAAATATGTTTGCTGCTGGTTGAAAAACTTGGATCATCTTTTTATTAAACAGCACATTTTCACCCAAAACTGCTGGCTGATAATGAATTAATAAGAAAGTGGTGCAGGAATGAGTCCTTAAACCCAGAACTTAGCATTTTAGAACATCTGGTTCCCTCTCCTCATAGTCAGTGGGTTTATTGAATCGGCTTTTAGTTAGAGGCCTGAAATAAGGGTTAATGAACGGTTGAGACAAGCTTAAAAGATTTTAAGTAAATTCAGTAAATACCCCAATAATGAATTTTGAAGCTTTTACACATCTTGAAAAACATAGTTGCTAACAAATGACTAAATGAGACTACAGAGGTTGTCTGTGACATTACACACCGAACACTTACTGATGGAGTCTACAGGAATATGTCATCTTCTGGAATGCAATCTCACCTTCGGCCTTTCTTTCATTGGTCTTTCTGAAAACTTACTGTAGTCTACGTTCCATTTTCTCAGACAAATCAGTGTCCTCGACAGCAGTTGATTTAGAAACTGAAACCTTTTGTAATTTTGTGAAGTCGAACTATTATTTTATGAGAACACAAAAACTACAGCATGAAAATGTACCCAAGTCACCAACACTCTCTTCTAAAGACAGTTTTAGTTTTTACTTTAAAAACATGTATTTTCTCCTCTCTGTCCTGCTGTTAGACATGAATGAGCTCACCACAGACTCACCTCTCTTGTCACAGGCTGGATTTTTAGTTATTGGCGTAGTTACAAATTTCAGTGGGATTTTGAATTATCTTTTTTTGATGATTCTTACTTCTGGAATAGAACTAGGAAGTTCTGATTTCACTTCTGCTCTCTGTTGTTCATTTGTTAGTCACTAAGAAGACACAAAAAGAATTGTGGTTAGAACTATAATTGTGAAACTATATTTGTTTAGAATTAAATTAAGTTTGGATTTATCACTTCCAGCGTGAAACCTTCCTCCCTATGACCTTACTAACACCAGTGTTCCATTTGTTTCCTCATATTGTCACACTGAAACAAGTACATGAAAAGGTCAGGGTTACATTTCATCAAGTCAACAAGCGTCTTTAATACAAAAATATACATTATACATATTTAATACAAACAATGACATGTTTTGACAGAGCATAATGTTTTTTCCAGTACTTCTGGAGTTTCAGACAGTTTAAGAGCATTTCAAACAAAATGCAGTTTTTTTCATTAGTGTATAATCACCTGAAAATAAGAACTGTTCTGTACCTTAGAATGAACCATTTTTATCTTCAGGTGGGTCGCCTTCCATGGAGTCAGCCATGTTTCTACAGTAGCCCAGAGCAGACAAACCAAACATTTGGCTCTAAATAGTTGCTCTCACGTTTTTTGCATGTTTCATGACCAGCATAATTTCAATCTGCAACTACACCACTAGGTGCAATTAAATCCTACACACTGGAGCTTTAAAGCATGATACAGCTTGATAATTTACAACACATTGGTGTCATCATTGTGGGGGTAATATCAGCATTGGAAGTCTGACACCTTACTATAAATCCAGACCTATACTGGAGACATCGACGGTGGGACACATACATGTAATGCCACCTTTAGAATGATTCTGATTCTCGTCTCAGATGGGGTCAGGGGGAGCATCCTATCACAGCGGGGGGAGTGACAAGGCTCTATAATGCCTGAGACAGTGTAACTGTCTGAAACAACTGAAAGTACTAGTGCTGGTCAGTCAGTTCCACCATCACTGTTAGCAAACATAAACATTCATTTGTGGCTGTTGCCGAGTTGTAGCGTTCTCAATCTGTGCATTGTAAACTTGCAAACTAATAAAAATACATGTTAGTTTGTAACACACACACTTGGGTAACTAAACAAGTGCTTTCTGACAGGCAGTTACACATGTTAATACGTCATTTTGTCAAGCTTCTTCCGTAAAATCACTGGGCCTCATTCAGTAGGTAACTTTTTATTAAAAAATGACTTTTTGTCATATTTGCTGAAACTTTCACTATATCCTAATCTGTGAAACAATCAGGTTCCTCTGGCTCCTCTTAGTGCTCCTAATGACATTTGAAGGACCATAAAACACACCTTTTAACTAAATGCTGTCAATTTAGAATGATTCTGATTTACTACTGTAAGGAGAGTACTACCAAAATTGGCCAATGTGCATGTTTCATTAATCCGACTGTAATTTTGCTTGCACATTTATTTTCTGTGCGAAGTTAGAACATTTCTGTGCACGTATTAGTGAATGGGGCCCATTGCTTTGATGGAAGACACAGGCTGTCATAAACTCAAAGTGTCACGGCACAGCTTTTTTCCTCTGCTCAGACATGAAGTTTTGTGATCCACACGATCATACCAGGTCGGCCCAGAGTCACTGTTGTTGAGCCTACAGTCAGACTACAGAAAACTGTTTTGGAGTGGGTTGACGTTTGCAGGCTGTCAGGACAGCGGGCAGCCTGCCTCTTGGTGCTTGGCTAACAGTGAGATCCTGGAGAAGGTCTTGAAGCAGCTTGTACACTGGTACTTTTTCACTTCAGAGTGGGTTTGGAGGTGAGCTCGCAAGTTGGATCGGTCGGCAAAAGCTCGGCTGCAGTGGAGACACGAGAACGGTTTCTCTCCTGCATAGGGAACACAGAGATTCATGTCAGTCAGAATGACGGGTTTGAATGGCCGACCCTCCTTCATGACCCTCCACCCGACCAGGGTTGGACACAAGCTATGGTGAACTAGCTTTACCAGGAATGTCAATTACTTAAATGGACAGTTCACCCCTAAATCAAAAATGTATATTTTTCTTCTTTCCTGTAGAGCTATTTATCCATCTAAATAGTTTTGGTGTGAGTTGCTGAGTTCTGGAGATATCAGCTGTAGCTGTATATATATATATATATATATATATATATATATATATATAATGATAATAAAAATTGATAGCAACTTGTTCTATTAAGAATAAAATCGTTTGATGACATATGGCTCAGCATTTTGCATAGGGGACCACTATGATTGAAGGGAACTACAATGATGTGTAAAATTAGTTGAGTGCCCCTTTAATAAAGAGGGGTTTTTTTTATTTTCTAATGCGCTGACCCTTAAATGTGTGGATGTGTGTGTTTCACTGACCTGTGTGTGTTCGTATATGTCCCTGAAGCAGCCAGGGTCTGGAGAACGCCTTTCCACAGAGTTTACACACACAGGGCAGTGTGTGCGTCCTGATGTGCATCTTGAGCGCTCCGAGACTATCGTACTCCTTCTCGCAGTACTTACAGCTGAAGTACTTCTTGCTGCTCCACTCACACTGGAGCTGCTTGTGTTTGGCCAGGCCTGAGAAGCTAAAGTGCTCTTTATGACAGTCCAAACACTCAAAGCTCTCCTGGCCGCCGGGAGCGATGGCTGGAAAGAGGGCCAGGAGAGGCAGGGATGGAGAAAGGAGACTCTCTCTCCTCCTGTGGTCTCCTGCAACGTGCTGGATTTCCAGGTTCACTTTGGTACAGGATTCGACTGGTTTGTAGGCTTCTGTGGGGCTCCTGCTGCAAGCCTCCGAATAGTGGCCTAAAAAGGAGAGAGGGGAGGCGTTTGGAGAAGATGGAAGATGCAGTCGGCCCGCTCTGAGAGACAGAGAACAGGACGAGGAGGAGGACTGGGCTCTCTGCTGTAGCCGTGGGCTTGGTGCTGGACAATGATGGTGAGGGGGGATGTCATTGTGCAGGAGAGAATCTTTGGGCGTGCAGCAGGAGACCTCTGTGGAATACACACACACACACACACACACACACATTTGGCTTAGTTGTGAGATTATGGGCTGCTGTAATCATCCATTCTCTCCATGCAGGCCCATATAGCTGCTTAAACCTGCAATAACAATTTATACTGCAGCTCCAACCCTGATGATGACTACGCAGAGATGGCTCTGGTCTACGCTCTCTACAAACTCCTGAGGGAAATATCTGGCTCTTTAGCTGCTAAATGCTCCACTAGTCTCTAGCCGTGTCTGTCTGTTACTGATCTGCCTGCTGCAGCAGAAAAAAGATGCTGTGAGAGCTGTGAGAGTACACTGAGAAGCGTCACATCAATTAACAGCCATGTGCAAACTGTCTGCTTCTCAGTGCAGACAGTTTGTGTGTTGCACTTAAAGTCCTTAGTCTGTGGATTCTACAGTTCAAAGCTAATGTGAGACCTCCTAAGTTAAACTGTGAAAAGGGTATATTGTCTGCATTTTGTTCTGGCAGCAAACCCCTCAGACGACAATTGATTTGTGGATTTATGGTTAAATGGAGTCAGTGATGTCTCTTTATGGACAAATGATTACAGCGACTCCTACCTGTTTTTATTTGATTAGAGATCAGAAACAATTCTGTGTTTATTGTATAAGCTGGACTTAATCAAGGTAGAGATATATTGAATTATTGAAATCACAATATGGTCAAGAACAATAACCAAATCACAGAAGCTGCAATCTGTTTGATAAAGCTAAACTGTGTGACCATCAGCATTATTTAGCAAAATTTGTGGGCTCCCATAGAACTCATTTTCATTCAGATATCTTGAGGTCAGAGGTCAAGGGATCCCTTTGAAAATGGCAAAGCTGGTACATACATCCATTGTATGTTTCTATCAATAGCTTTGGATGCTCTAGCAGTTTAAGATTCAAAAGAGAAATGTGTATTGAACATGATGTAAATCCAGAGTGGTGAGCATGAATGCAGTCAATATGGTGGGCCTGTCTCTCAGATATTCAGTTGTTGCCTTGCAGATACCGTTACACCGATGTTATGTCTAAAACTGACACTCACAACTGCCCTCTTTCATCACACACACACACACACACACACACACACACACACACACACACACACACACACACACACACACACACTCTTCCAGAACACAGAGACAAAAACCACCATGTTCCCCAGCTCTACAGCCAGGCCCCAATTTAAAGAGGCACTGTATGTGTCAAATAAATCAACTTACTTTTACCTTAACCCTAAACTGAATTTAATCTGAAAAGGTCCTGACAACCTATTTTCTCAATCAGCTTCATGAGCAACGGGGTCCTACTGTAAACGAACACACTTTTTGTTTAGGTTACTTCTCTTGCGTTATTTCTGTTAGCTCACATTGTCAGGCCACTGTCAATGAAATGGGATTAAACCACACCCTCCCTGTCAGTGCTCATAGTGCTCAACACTGATTGACATTTTTAATAATTAAAAGCGGCAAATTTACTATCTTGTGCACAAAGTGTCATTTATGAAGTTTTATTTATTCAGGATATTTTAATATTTTTTTCACATTCCAATTCCAATTTCTGAATACCCATTGCTCTTTAAAAGGATGTACTTGCAGGATTATAATGCTCACTATATCCGTGGCATAAAATGGTCTTAAAATGACGATAACATTGTTCATCACACTATTTTTTTTTTCAAACTCAAACTTATAAGTTTTAAAATAAACTAAAAAGGTTTTGCCAACCTATAATCTCTTGTCTACGTAATTTACTGTTCCTCAGAAAAACTTAAATATTTAGGTTTTAGAAAAACAAAATTTGGAATTTCAAAAATCTTTCACAGTGAGCTGTGAGTCTGATTTTCTTTATTACTGGGGTGAAAATATCAAATTATTAGTTATTATTATGAGTTTTCTGAACAATTTTTCAAATTTTAAAATGTTTCTAAAACTTAAAGAGTCGAGTTTTTCTAAAGGAGAAAAGTAGATTATCAATAATAATTATAAGTATAATTCAAAACTTGCTGAGTTTGACTTAAAACTCAAAAATGTAATGGGGCCAGTTGCCTTGAAATTAGGGGTTTTCACAACTGTATTTTATTTACAATGTGTCGTCCAAGTTTTGTTGGTAATTGGATCTGGTTTTTTTGTATCTATACTCAAAGACTTAGCATTAGTAGTGCTTATATGACTTTAGGTTTAAATCTGCCCCGCCTAGTGCTTTTCCAATTTTACCACCGACTGTTTTCATCCTATCCTATTTTTTATACAGATATACGAGTTTAACACACACATACACACAATACAGTTACTGTGATAATATACTACTAATAACATTAATAATACTTTAAAAATGTGCATTAAACCAAGATCACCACTTTTGCAGAGCTTATATCGCTGTATATTTTCCTTTAAAGTGAATATTATTTCAGTCTTATTACCAGCACTTCTTTCTTGGCCCTATTCTGATGGTAATGGCAGTTCATCAATACAGTAGTATGAGGAGGGGGGAGGCTCGAGCTCGCTTTAAGGGCTGTATTAGAACAAATACAAAGGTTGAAGGAGGGATTTGTCAGGAGGAGCCTGGAAGGCTGCTACATAGGCTCCTGAGGCTTCTTAATGGGGCCCTTCTGGTCTCTCAAGGACCCCGGGACAATGCTGTAACTCTTTGGGGACGAATCTTGCACCTGCTAAACACAAAACTACATTTCTTGTTTGTGGCCAGACAAATCTCTTGTTTCTCTCCACACAGCATTATTTTCCTTAATGAAAACAGACAAAAATAGATGTGTTGAACTTTGAAAGGTTGCTCTGGTTTAAAATATTTAGTAGAATAAATATAGGACTATTCCAAAGTCTGTAAAAACCAATGTCCAAAAAAAGTCTGTAACTGAACCTCTAAGCACAAACCCCAACTGTTTGTAATCTCTTAATCTTGTTGAACATCTGTGAAGATATAGTAATGTAAATCAGGGTGCAAACTACAGGGGAGCCAGGGGGAACTTGACTCCTCTGAATAAGACATGAGTTCCCCTGAAAACATGATTTGAGGGGCGTCCGGTTAGCTCAGTTGGTAGAGATAGCGGCCCGGATTCGAATCCGACCAGCGGCCCTTTGCTGCGTGTCATCCCCCCTCTCTCTCTACCCCCCTTTCCTGTCGTTCTTCAACTATCTGTTGTCTGTCTGTCCAATAAAGGCATGAAAAGGCCAAAAAAAAACCATAATTTGGGCTCTTTTTGTAATGTATTTCCAGTTGTCTGTATCATCATGGATCATATAAAATGACGCTGTTATTGATGTGTGTATGTCATTAATTATTATATATTAGATGGTCAGACATAAAGCAAGTAGGCCATGATTGTAGCTAATGTTTCTTTGCAACCCCCACCCCCAAAAAGGAAAGAAAAACCCATCGTAAAGTTGAGTAAAAGTACTTGCATTCAGTTTCAAGTGGTAAAATATATTTAAATAAGTGGTTAAATGACTAATTCTGAAGCTTAGCGTGTTACATGTATTAATATATATATTAGAGTATTTTTGTTTAGCAGGTGTAATGTAGGCCTACTGTTGTCACAGTGTATCAATTTCTGTTAGCTAACACTAAAAAGTAATTCAGTGGACCTATTGTCGCAACTTAAATAGATGCATGGTTGCAAGATAAATGATAAATGATAATGAATCGATTTAGAGTACATTTTGTTGTTTATCAACCAAATATTAAACAAGTGGCAACACCTTTGATTGTAAAGGAAAAGCTAATTCCCCTAACGCAATGTACTACATTTGTTAAACATAATTTCAGTTGCCATAACTCAAAAAGACTGATGCAAACTGTTTCGTTTTTTTTCGCTAAAACATTTGTTTTTAGAGTGTAACGTTAGGTAACTCTAAGTTATATCCTGTTGTGAAAATAAAGCAGTAATTTCACTCTGAAAAGTAAAATGTACTGCATAGTATTTGAACTTGAATTTCTATTTTATAATAATATTTAAAAAAAATCAAACCCTAAAGAAAAGTGTCCAAGCCTCAAAACTGCTCTTATACGGAGTACTCTGTTACTCTTCCTGCTCTGACCGTTATTCCTTTTCAAATAAAATGAGTCACGCGCATGATGTGGCCAATAGAAAGAGTCTTACCCTCAGTCTCTGAGTTCAGTCTTCCATAGTTCGGTTTCTTACTGCTATGATGTTTCTTCACGAGGAAAGACCGCGGCATGTTGTTGTCGCCCTCTTCGTGGGAGTTGTTGCGGGGTCACGGTGGTCTCGAGCCGCCGGTTAACGGAAGCAGCTGTCGCTAGTGTCTGAGAGTGAGCGTGCTGCTGGATTCAGCTGAGTGTGTGTGTGTGTGTGTGTGTGTGTGTGTGTGTGTGTGTGTGTGTGTGTTTGTGTCCGCCTGCGGCCTCGCGCATTCTCCCGCTGACTGCCGACGGTCAGGTGTGAGCCAAGGGTCGCGCGGGGGAATTTCCATAGACACTGGTGTCGGACCAATTACAATAAAAGGACAAGTACAGGGGGCGGGATCTGTGTGTCACTCAGCATACCCCAACAAAACAGGTGTATGAATGGTGATAGCCGCTCACTATAGAGGCATGGAAGCACTTCAGGCTGCTTTACACTGCTGGAGCTGGAGCTGAGCTTCAGGCACACATAGAGTGGGGCAGCTTGATTAAAAAAAAAAATATATATATATATATGTCTTAATATATGAAAACACACACACCAGTGCAGCAGCTGATACAGGCCTGGTAAAGCTTGCCCAAAGCTGTTGACTAAAATTAATATTACTGTAGGAAGTGTAATACATGATGGAAAAAGGAAACTTGTTACAAAGTAAGTTTGTCATTGTATCTTATTTACTTATCAATAAAGACAAAACAAAATACAAAAAACTTGTCATTATTGCTGAAATTTTAATTATATCCTGACAGTTATACAAGATAGATAATCTGTGAAAAAATCAGGTTCCCCTGGCTCGTTCTATCGCCCCTAATGGCTATTCATGTTCATCATCATCATCAGTCACTACTATTAGTGTAGTTGTTGCTACTGTTGTTGCTGTGCACCTCTGTCTGTCTGTCTCTCTCTCTCTCTCTCTCTCTCTCTCTCTCTCTCTCTCTCTCCCAACTGGTCGAGACAGACGACCACCCACCTAGAGTTGGGGTCTGTCAGAGGTTTCTGCCTCTTAAAAGGAAGTTTTTCCTTGCCCCTGTCCCCAAGGTCTTGCTCATGGTGGTACTGTTGGGTCTCTGTAAATAATGTTAATAAACGGAGTTCGGTCTAGACCTGCTCTATTTGAAAAGTGTCCTGAGATAACTTCTGTTATGAATTGGTGCTATACAAATAAAATTGAATTGAAATGGTCTGCAAGAATCCACTAGGCCCGGATGAAAACAACCAATCAGAGCCCAGAAAGATATAAAGACGATTTAGGTTGGAAGCTTGATGATCATTGATTGTTGAGTTTCATTCCCAGGGTCCCAAAGTGCCTGTATTTGACATCCTGGGAATGAGACCATTGATAGTATATATAATGGACAGAGCTTCTGGGTCTGTGAAGTGAAACCAATGCCAGAAACCTGCATTGTATATAAAGGCCGGCAGGGGGCAGATCCACTGGCTGCAATAAAAAACGATACCATGCATGCTAATGATCAAACCCAGATCAAACTAGGCAGGGCTGATCAAATATGAAGCTAGATTCTGTTACTGCGTTGACTCACAGTCATGTACATTCAGTCTCTGTTTGTTGTGTATGACCAAATTTACTAAAACTTAAGACATTTCCTGTATATTTTATTTTGATTTGTAAGTACACAATATTATTTTAATTTTTATTTCAGTTAACTAAAATTATTTGACACCTTTTAGTTTAGTTTTAGTTAACTATAATAACCTTGCATCAAATTGTGGGTAAGGCCTCTATTAACCACAGAGAAAACCTTATAGAATGGAACATGCCTTTATTTCTATTATTTCACCCATGATATAAATGTATTTGATCTTATTTTAGTAAGAACCCTCCCTGTTTTCTAATATGCTCCTGTTTGAATTTGCTGTTGAAACTCATCCCGTCCTCCATGTTTACCTGCTGTCTTATGGAATATATTGAATGAAAGTCTTTGGTCGGTCAGTTTTTCCATTTCATACATTTCCTTTCATTCTCACTATCCACTCCTTTTTGTCTGTCTTCTTGCTTTTGCCGACCAAACTAAGCTTCACAACACCTCTTCAGAGACCTATGGGTGACATCACGGACTACATCCATTTTTATTTATATAGTCTTTGGCCTAGCAAGTACAGGAAAGCAGGAAGTTGACCGAGGTTCTGGTTGAGAGGCTGCAGGAATTACAGTTATTTGTATGGAGAAGTGTGTTTCCTATTGGTATGGGAGATGATTTAGTGAAGTGCAGCAGAGAGAACTTGTTCAAATACTGTATATCAGACCCAAAGGTTTATTTTATAAATAGAGTTCAAAACTGTTGGTGAGATAGTGTTACTAGAATTACTTATTAGAAATAATAATAAAAGTCATGCATAAAAAGAAGAAATGTCCAGTTCACAGACTCTCAGGTCACAACTGAGAGCCACTGTTCTCGAGAACATGTGGCCAGCCTCAACATGCCTGGCACCTCGTCTTCCAGCCTGGTCTGGGCTCGGCGTTCACCTTGTACTTGGCAGGCTGGAGGACCACGCCAAACTTGCCCTCCAGACTGGGCATAGGGTGGCCCGGTGGGACGGAGAGGGTGAAGCGCTGTAGGATCCAGGTCAGGAAGAGGAAGAGCTCCATCTTGGCCAAGGCCTCGCCCAGGCACACCCTGACCCCAGCGCCGAACGGAAGGTAGCTGGACGACGGGATGATCAGACCAGTGCCGTCGCTGTCCAAGAACCGACCTGGGAGAGGGAATCAGAATCAACACACACACAACCCTTACAATCAGGGTTCAACTAGTGCTGTTCATGGAGCTAAGTTGCTGCTAGCTCATATTTGGTCCACATTTGAAAAATAGTGAATAGTTTATATTAGTTAATATTTCTTTGCATTTTTTGGTAACATTTAGGAGGCTGTACTGCCAGAAATGGAATATAATATTGATAGGTATATTTTCATTAGTGTATAATCACTTAGAACTGTTATGTTGTTGTTACGGTAGAATGAGGAATTTTTATCTACAGGCACCATGGAGTCTGCCATGTTGAATCGCCATGTTTCTACAGTAGCCCAGAACAGACAAACTAAACACCGTAGTTTCTCATACGCATTTCTCAGTCCATTATCATTCACAGGTCGTCAAATACAGGCACGAGCAGTGTTTAGTTGGTTGCAACCTGAAACTGGCTAGATTCCACTAAATCCTACACACCTAACTAGCATGTTGCCAACATTAGTGTAACCAGCAAGCTAACTTGATGTAGATAAGCTAATTAGCTAATAAATGTTCTACACTACTATCTATATCAACTATAGACCGATTTCTAACCTCCCCTTCCTCTCTAAGATTCTGGAGAAAGTAGTCGCCAAACAGTTGTGTGACTTTCTACATAACAATAGTTTATTTGAGGATTTTCAGTCAGGATTTAGAGTTCATCACAGCACAGAGACAGCTCTGGTTAAAGTTAATAATGACCTTTTGATTGCTTCTGACAATGGACTTGTCTCTGTACTTGTATTATTAGATCTTAGTTCTGCATTTGACACCATTGACCATAATATTCTTTGACAGAGACTTGAGAATCAAAGGAACCGCACTAAGCTGGTTTAAGTCATACTTATCAGATCGTTCGCAGTTTGTTCATGTTAACGATGATTCTTCAATAAATACTACAGTTAGTCATGGAGTTCCACAAGGTTCTGTACTTGGACCAATACTATTTACTTTATATATGCTCACTTTAGGCAACATTATTAGGAATCACTCCATTAACTTTCATTGCTATGCAGATGATACGCAGTTATATCTATCAATCAAGCCCGATGAAATTACTCAATTATCTAAATTATAAACATGTCTTAAGGACATAAAATCCTGGATGAGCTGCAATTTTCTGATGTTAAACTCTTGTACTTGGCCCCAAAAACCTCAGAGACTCACTGTCTAAAGATATAGTCACTCTAGATGGCATTACCTTGGCCTCTAGCACCACTGTCAGGAATCTTGGAGTTATCTTTGATCAGGACATGTCATTTAATTCCCACATAAAGCAAACCTCCAGGACTGCCTTCTTTCATTTACGTAATATTACAAAAATTAGACACATCCTATCACAGACAGATGCAGAAAAACTAATCCATGCATTTGTTACTTCAAGGCTGGATTACTGCAACTCTTTATTATCAGGTTGCCCCAATAAGTCCATTAAAATGCTCCAATTAATTCAGAACGCTGCAGCACGAGTACTGACAGGAACTAGGAAAAGAGATCACATCTTTATAAAGAGTTCGGTCTAGACCTGCTCTATTTGAAAAGTGTCGGCGCTATACAAATAAAATTTAATTGAATTGAACTGAATTGAATCTACTAATAACCTTGCTACAGAGCAAAACGGTAGCTAACGATTATCTAGCTAGTTAGCTATCGTTTTGCTTACATTCACTTTTATGTTTTATCCATCTTCAAAATGTGGTTGTCTTTTCAACACAAAAAAACCTAGCACAAAGCATATCTAAGTACAGGAAAGGAGAAAGTTGACTGAGGTTTGGACTGTGGCTTGCTCAACTGTTATTGAAGAATGTTTTGCGTTTTGTGGCCACCATAGTTTCTCCTTTGCGCTTGGGAGGGAAGGGTGAAGCGAGGGAGTTGCAATCTGCAACTACACTGCTAGATGCCGTTAAATCCTACACACTGGACCTTGTAAGAGTCAGTTCATCTAGATAAATAAAATAATAAAAGTGCATATTTTTCTTCTTAGTGTGATATCTATTTAGTTATGTTTGTCCAGGATTTCAGATATACCCCCATACGCCCAATGGCAACGAACAGTTAACTCCAATTCTACACCTCATTTCCTTAGTAACAATAACAGTAGCCAGACATGGCTTTATCCTTTTGTATCATCATTAATCTCGTTCTTTATGGAGTTCAGCAAAAAACTGACTTCTATTACCAATTAAATTCAATTAACCCTTTTTCCCAGCAGATATGATGAAAAGGCCTATCGGCTCTATAAGTGACACATAACAATTACACTGAAGTTTCCTCTCACCAGGGTCAAAGTGCTCAGGGTTTTTCCATTCCTTCTCGTCATGGTGCAGAGACCACAGGTTGATGATAACTCGACTTCCTTTCCTCACTGTGAAATCCCCAATGCTGCACAGACAGGGAGAGGGAGAGAGAGGGGAGGTTATAGGGACGGTCTTCTCTCAGGTTTATTGTTAGCAGGTTTGAAATTCCCCTGTGCATGAAACAAATATTCCAAACGTTCCATCCTGGCAGCATTGAGCGTACCTGCTGTCACTGAGGGCCACATGGGGGATGAGTAGAGGGGCCACAGGCCGAATCCGTAACACCTCCCTGATGGTGGCCTCCAGGTAGGGCAGACTGCCTCTGTCACTGAGCTGAGGGGACCGGTCCACACCCACCTTACTGTCCAGCTCCTCCTGGATACGCCTCTGCACCTAAACAGACACACACACACACACAGTCAGAGATATCCATATTCTGCAAACATAATTTTGGGCATTTTCAACCTTTATTGCATAGTGGGGAGTAAATGAGAGGAGACCGTGGGGTATGATATGCAACAAGGGTTTACATTGGCATTGTGGTTATGTGGTATGCACTTTCACAATTAAAGTCATAGCAGTAGCATCTAGTGGACCACAGAGGAACTGCAGTTTCAGGCAGCTAAGATTGACTTCTCCACATTTAAAAAGGTAAATTTTAAACCCAAACTCTAACTGAATTCAGAGTGTCAAGTGTGTTGAGGACTAGAGAGGAGAATACAGCCAAATTCTTCGGATACATTTTTAAAGTATAAACCTTTTACACCACAGGGAAAAACCCCCCTACCCAAATCACATACACACTGCCGCTCCAGCCTCACCTGCGGGTGGTGAATGAGGTAGGTGACGGCCCATTTGAGCACGGTGGAGGTTGTTTCCACGCCGGCTCCAAAGATGTCTCCTACAGTCATGAGGAGGTGGTCATCACTGAGGCCTACGGATTCTGCACTGATCTCTGCCGTGTTGTTGTTCTCCGCACTGCGCTTGGCTCTCAGCAGAGCGTCCAGCAGGTCTCTCTGCACATGGTCACTGTAGTCTGCCTGGGAGAGAGGGAGCACCGTGTCACTGTACAGCACACACACTCATAGTATACAGTATTTCACTGGGTTTGCATTTAGCAGATAGAGCAACTTAAAATGACTGCCACAGTGAAGTATGTCAGTATTTGTGTATCACAACAATAATAAGTTAGGAGAACATGTAGGAAGCTTGACGAGTTAGTATGATGAGTGCAACCTCTGTGGCTGCAAACTAAGTAATAAAAACTGCAGTTTTCTAGCGGCCACTTGAGCTGGCTCCAGAAGTGAGTCAATCTCCACGAGGCCCCATGTTAAAATGCCCAACCTAACAGCAAAATTATGTTTACAGAGAAATTCTCCATTTCTTCATAACTGGTGACAAATTTTCTTTGTAAGATGTTCTAGTCACAGATTGTGGGCATATGGGGACTTGCCAACTATAGTACATCACCATTAAATCTGAACCATCTTTAACCACATTAATGACAGGAAAGGATATTATTAGCAAAAGGGCGACTGTACCTTGTGTTCTTCGTATTGCTTCTGTAGAAGTTTGTCTCTGATTGACACACACTCCTTTAGAAGACGCAGGTCCGCATTGGGAAACATCTGTGAAAGAGACAGACATCATTCATTTGTTTTATATATACAGGGTGATATTTTATATGTAATTAATGTATATATGTGTACATATATATCTAAACATATATGCACCGATCAGCCATAACATTATGGCCACCTGGACACCCTTGGCTCTGATTGGTGGATTTTGTTCGGTCTTGCAAATGCCAATAGGAGCACTAGGAGGAGCCAGAGGAACCTGATTTATCTCTCTTATATTCTACTGTTAGAATATAGTGAAAGTTTCAGGGATTTATGGGAAATGTAGTCCTATACCATTAAGACAGTGTCTAGTAATCATTTATAGATACACAGCAAACAGCAGTTGTAATGAAGTATTAATAATATTGATAAAAGACTCATGAATGGTGCTCCTGTATGTTCCTATGTTTTCTTGCTTATTCAGAGTGTTCACGTCCTACCTGTAACCAGGGGAAGATGTCTACCAGGCTGTCCTTTGCCACAGTGTCCACGATGCCCTGGCTGTAGCGCAGCATGGCCTCAAACTCAGGGTCCCCCTTGCGGTAGGACGAGTTGAAGCACAGTGAGCAGATGACATTGGTGACGGCCCGCGTCAGCTCAGGAGACAGGTCCAGGGACAGTTCAGCAGCCGCTGCCTCCGACAGGACAGAGCACAGAGACTGAGCCTCTGCACAGACTAAGCAGAACACAGGAACAATAATGTGCATCTCTGGTATGTATTTTCCACACACAAAAAAGACTTCCTATTTGAGAGCATTTTGTCTTAAGTAATCACCTCTGCGTCATTTTTATTTTTAGGTTTGAAGATTAAAAAATCATAGTCAAACAATGATCAAGCTATGATCACTATTTAATAACAATCAATCAAAATGGTCTATTCTTCCTTTGTTGTTCCAACTTCCATAACAGTGATTAAAGTTAAAATATTCTATTATTCCAAAAGGGTGGCATGGAGACTTTAATGGGAGGTAGAAATATATGCTGATTTAATCACAAACAATCACATATAGGTTGTTGGTGGTCTGAGATGTCATTAGTAGCACTAGGAGGACCCAGAGGACCGCCATTGTTTCACAGAATATTTTGTCTCATGTTCTACTGTCAGGATATAGTGAACGTTTCAGCAAATATGACTAAATATGAATTGAAATATGAACATTTTTATATTTAAAAAAAATAAAAACGATTTTTTTGTTTTTTAAATGAATGTGTTAAATTTGACAGCATTTGACACCAAACTGGGGTGGCCAGGCATTTTTTAGGAGTGGTAGCTGCCACAAACTGGATGTTGTTTAACTGTTAATCATATAAATATGGATATAATAGTGGATGTTACAATATTTTCATGCAGTTGAACTGTCTGTGTCTAGTTTGATTTGGTCGAGTTTTCACTGTAGCTACTTTAACCACATAGAGAGGCAAAAGCTGGATGTTCCAACCATTTATCTGTTACTCTAGTGATCTATTTCAGTGGTTCCCAACCTTTTTCCTGAAGGGACCCTTTACCAACATTGAGTAAACTGACCCCTGACTCAGTGATTTTATGGATATCATATTCAATAATAACAATAAAAGTAGAGAACAACTGATAAACTGTACAATTAACACAATAACTGCAGGAAGTTTGTGTAAAACGCTTTGTGAATATAGCTTATGTTCAGGTCTTAACTGCACCCTATCATGTTTATATCTTACATAATAATCTTAACTTTAAAAGTAACTATTTCATTTAGGTTTATTCACAGAAATGCCAACCCTTAAGAGCCACCCCTGATGGGGACCCTCTACAACCCACTCAAGGATCTCTGTTGCTCCCCAGACCCCAGTTTGAAAACCACTGCTCTAGAGTATCAGGGTCACTGACTATCTGTATGGATAAATACTGCTAGAAGTGTGTACAGTTTAGAACCCTTTTGATAAGTGAGAGGAAAAATAATTGGAGGAGTGCAGTGAACTTACTGATCTTCTCGATGGAGGCTGAGCCCTCTCCAAACATGCACAGAGCTCCATGAACTATTTTCCTGTGGAACCTCCAGGTAGCGCTGTAGTCTCCAAATGCGATGTCTTTCCCATCTCTGGTCAGAACATCTGTGGTTACCTTCATCACACACAGGACAGGGACGGAGAAGGAAAAGACATACATGAGTACTGCTTCTAGTAAGAGGAGGAAGACAATGAAGAGGAGGAATACCCACAGTTCTGGGTCTTCCTGCAAATATCTTCCCCTTCTTCAGCAGCACTTCTTTGGCATGTGCGTGCTGGTTGACGACGATGACACAGTGGGAGCCCATCATCAGGGAGTACGTCTGTCCATATTTCCCCTGCAGTTCTTTGAAAAGCACATGCGGAGGGTGAGGGCTCCGCAGGCTCAGCAGACTGCCGATCAGAGGTAGCGCTGGGAGGCGGGGGGGCTCCTGGGGACCAGACCTCTTGAGCTTCCACTGTAGCACCAACAAAGCAAGGCCCACGAACAAAAACACACACACGCACAGAAACCAAGCCATATCCGTATAGCAGAGGAAGGTCCTGAGAGAGAGGGGGGAGGGGGGAGTCTGGTTCAGCAGAGGCTAAGCATAGCAGAGAGGAGCTGTGCAGTAAGGCCTAGAGCTGCTGCAGGGCCACGCTTTTATTCAGCTCCTTCAATGTCAAATCCTTGAGTCTGAATATTTAAGGCTGGGCCAATTTAAACAAGATAAGATGATTCATTGAATCCTTGCAGAGAACCATGACGAAACAGATCCACATGACGGAGACTGTGAGAGCGTGCAGCTTTGAGGTATTTGTACTTTACCTGAGCAGGGACGCTGTGAGTCAGTCAGAGCTGGGGGTGCTGGGAGATCATCAGACTAAATGCTAAATTCTTGACATTCATGGTTTTTGCATTCATTTAAATGGCCAGTAACATTTAAAGCCTATTTAATAGTAATAGTAACAACGACAGAAAACCTCTTTCTGGTCATAAATACCAGTGTGTACATATAAATCCCACTAAAAAAGGAGAAAGTCATTATAAGTTGGTGGTGGTTTTCATTATGTCAGATTTTAGGGGGTACTGCAGCCCCCCACAGAACCCCTACTGTACTCGAGTATTCAGTTTTCTGCTCCAACTACTGTAGTTCATGCTCACTTTACAACATGAAGGTTTTACACACAAAACATAGGATCAGTTTATAAAATATTAAACCAAACATTAAACCAGTGTAAGCATACCCCCACAGGCCAGTCCGATGAACTCCAGTACCCCTTCATCAACACCACCATTTATGTTCCAAATATGTTCAATTGAATTTATTTCAAACTGGATGTTCTTTAACTATTAATCTTATAAATATGGATATAATAGTGGATGTTATAATATGTTCATACAGGTGAACTGTCTGTGTCTCGTTTGATTAACTAAAAGTAACTATTTCATTTAGGTTTATTCACAGAAATGAACAAAATGCTACTGTATATATGTTTTGAAGTTTTCTTACACCCCTTGAAATCAAGAAGGCGTCGTGACCCCGTGTGAAACTTTGGCTCCCAGGTTAGGAACCACTTATCTATTGCAACAGTTTATCCATTATATTTAGCTGTTTTATCTCCTCTGCTTGTTTCTAACTTGTTATCACACAATCCTTTTCACAAACACCTAAATGTATTATTAACAAAGGGGATCTGTGGATGTGTTTTAATCAAATCATTTATTCAATCAGTTGATCTACTTTAAAATCTCTCCATGAACCCCCAGCAACAGCAGAAGTACACCCTGGGGTAAAAGCGGGCCCCTCAGCTTTGTCAGATACAGAATCAGTTCTTCCTTTAAATCACTTCTTAAATCCATTTTTATAGACTTGCTTTTATGTGATGTTGTATTTTTACTTTATTCCATCTATTGTATTTTATTCTCTAGTGCTTCATTTTGTATTTTTTCATATTTTCATTTCTTCCAGCACTACCATCCTTATCATTTATCATCAGTGACTCAGTGTCCTTCTACCATACTTATTTCATCTTGTTCATTATTTCTGTCTTGCCTAGACGCGTTGGTGTGTGTTTTGACCCTTCCCACGCACCGTCGTTAGCCAAAACAGAAAATGGCTTCAGCAGAGTCCCAGCCGCGATTCGGCCAGTCTGTCAAAGGTTTATTATCCGATAAAGTGGGCTCCTGTAGCGGGGACGTGATCGCACTGACCCGCCAAGTGCTGAAGGGATCCCGCAGTCAGGAGGTAAAAGAAAACCACTACAGCTAGCTGTTGTTGCTAACAGCTTCACTAAAGTATTCCTACTAAGCTAACGGAGCTAACGGAGCTAACGGACAAACGGAAACACCACTAGAACCGTCTTTTGTTTTCAAAATAAAAGCATTTCAAGTACATCGCGACGTAATTGCTATTGACTCTATCAGTACGGATTTATTTTGAAACGTGAGCTGTAAGCTTTTCCGTTCGCTTGATCCAGCTAGCAGCTAGCAGCTAGAGATTAGCTAAACTTACTCGGTTAATTAAAATGCAACTGAACATTAACTTCTTTTAAACGGTAAACTAAACTAAACCCACTGTCGTAGAGAAAGTAGCATCTTGCTAACAATAGCATTCCTTTTTAAACCTTTAATTTGAAAAACAGTTTATAGAATAGAAGTGTTGTTTTAAAGTCCAGGTTTTCTGTAGAACATAATAATAATAATAATAATAATAATAATAATAATAGTTCAAACTAGAGAAACAACACAAGAGGAAAATGGAAGCAGACAGAATGTTGAAGAGTTTTGGTAATTATTATTTTTAAATGGAAAGAGATCCGTTTGTTTAAATGATGTCTTATGAATGTAAAATTTAGCTAAAACAATGACCACATGAATGATATATTGTGCTTTGTGGGAGGAATAAAAGTTGGGGAATATTAATAACAAATCACGTTTTCTTTTCCAAAACATATTTTAAGATCCAACTGGAAATCTGCCCAAAATATCCCAAAATATTCCCACATGTACACACATGTACACACTGAGTGACGGTTGGTTAACTTCATTAAAGCTGGTTTCATTCAAACGATTAACAGCAAAGTCATCTGCGGCTCTTCTGTTAATGTTAATAGTTAATGGATTAATAGTTTGAGTCAAGCAGTTGAACTTCACTAAACTGAGTATTTCTGAGTTTGGAACTTTTTGTGTGACAGAAACAAGCACATTGAAGCAGTATTAAACCACTGGCAGATGAACTGGGGATGACCGTAGTAGAGCCCGACCCATATGGGATCTTTCAGACTGAGACGTATATAAAAGCTGAAAAAATCCCAATATGGTGGCTGATATAGTGAATGTTTGAGCTGGAATGAAAATGGAACTTTTCCTAGTGGATTGTGCGGGGTCAGCCCTATGTTCCCACATTTCTAAGAAGGGTTAGGGTTAGGGTTGGGGGTTAGGGTTGGGGATTAGATTTAGAAGAAGGGATAAAATCTGATACAAATTTATGAAAAAGGAAATGTGGGAACATCGGGCCTAATTTTGATTGTGCAACATGTTGAAATATTCCTAACTCATTATTGAACATATACGTTGTTAAGCGATTCTAGTTGACATCGCTGAGAGCTGCTTCTTCGCTCTCACTCTGCTGTTTAATATCAGCCGAGCGATATATCAGTCATGCTTTACAAATGAATCAGTTGCCGTATTGTTCCTACCCAGCTTCTCGGTCAAGCAGCGAGAAATATGGTGATTCAGGAGGATGCCATCCTGCACTCTGAGGATGTAAGTATGAACATAATCCACAGTCAGCAAACACAGTGGTGATTATATATATGGCTGATAATGGGAAATGTATATTATTGTGAATTATTGTGATAATTAAATTAGAGCTGCTAAATTATCAGTCCATAAAAATAATAATAATAATAATAATAATAATAATAAGTGATATGCTGCTCTTTGATTCTCTAAAATGGCACAACTCAACATCAGTATCATCTTGTCTTCCAGAGTCTTAGAAAAATGTCCATCATTACCACACATTTACAATACCAGTGAGTACCAATCAGCTGTTTGTGAATACAAATATGTGAAACACTTGTTCAAACTGGAATATTGAAAGATTGTGTGTGTGTCTGTGTGTCTGTGTGTTGCACTAAGGCAGGAGGCCATCCAGAAGAAGTAAGTCTAAACTCTGCGTTCTGTTTATGCCTGAGCAGAAGCAGCTGACATCACTGTCTCAGCAGTAAGCCATAACACAAACTGATGACGTGCACTGACTCTCCTGTGTGTGTGCTCTACTTCCACCCTCTAGCGTGGAACACTCGAAAAACCTGCAGGACCAGCTGAGACACCTGCTGAAGTGACTCAGGGGGCTCAGCAGGACTCTAACGTTGGACCACATCCACCATATTTCTACAGTGTAACGCGCTGCTGGCTGCTACATAGGGACTGATCGATGTGCGGGCAGTGCTCTGTATCAGACACAGTGCCTGTGTGCAAAGCAAGGAGCATGTAAAAAGTTTACTTGAGTTATGGAAAATGTTTTTGATCAATTGTATTACGTTAATTTATTAAATACCTTGTCTGCCTCATCTTAGCTCCTCATACTGCCACATTTTTAATGGTTTTTGATGCTTTTAGGTTGTCAAAAGTCCTCTTTACTAATAAATGTTATTTTGAAGATTGTTAAGAAGTTAAGTTGAAGATTGATAGGTGAATGTCATATTATTGGTTGAAATTGGTTAGTTTATGCTTACACGTCACATTTTGTTTTACAGGAAGACACAATGTTTGGATTTTGATATAAAAATAAGTTAGTTTTTGTATATTTTTTGGCATACATTGTTAAATAGAGGTAAACTATATCTGAGAATGCAATCTTAAAGGGTTAAAATTATATTTTTCATTTAACTTAGACTTTAAAGGACCAGTCAGTAACATTAAGGAGAATCTATTGTCACATATGGAATATAATGTTCATAGGTTTTTGAAGGGTTTGAAATAAAAGTAGTATTTTGTATTGTAACTTTTGAACAAAAGCCTGTACAATGATTCAACCAGACAGCCAACTAAAAGGGCAGAAAGAGACAAGGATCCATCTGAGTAACCGTTCAATAAGAACATAAGCCATCAGCAGTCATTGGTCAAAGAAACTGGAAACTTTAGCATTAAAATCATCAGATTTAAACAAGAACAGCTTCCTGTTGCAGTGTCAGTGCACAATAATGCCTCCAACAAGCTGGGATTAACAAGTGTGTTTAACAAAGCTGTTCTTAAAATTTCAAAATAGAAACAGAAGTTTGGTCTACAGTTAGCGTTGTTGAATATCGGCTGGACACATGGTGGACTGACACCACAGTTTAAACCTGTTCAATCTGACCACTGAGCAGACGGCAGAGGGTCCAAAGACAAACAGGTTCCCAAAATATTTAGAGCCCAGTTGCAAGCACAGTCATGTGCCAAAGGAAAAAAAAATAAGATCATTATTTTACATTTTCATTTGTTTTGGAATCAAAATCTTTGTTTTAGTTTAGTTTTTCACAAGGCATAACTCCATTTCCCCGGTAACACCTGAGGTCCTTCCTAATCTTTACCATCCCATAAGGTTCTAATGCAATGGAAACAAAGAACCATAGATGCAGCTTGGCAATGGGAGATGTTTCTAGTTCTGCTACTTAGTAGGTGTCCTACATCAGGTATTAATGGACACCCAGCAGCCAATCAGAATCAAGAGACCTAGACCATGGTTTAATAAAATACATACACTATATCCAATAAAGTATTTCATTTTACCAGTACCAGCATCAAACCATTGACCGTATATACAGGTGTCAAACTCTGGGACTGGGACTTTATTTTTGCAATCTAGACTTTTGAGAGGACAGTTATTTAAAAAAAAAAGTCACCATTCTTGAATAAGATAAAAACTATGAACTGGGAGGAGGTTTTGGCAGGGACACAGAGTCCACGGAGGTTGTGGTCCAAGGCTGGAGCAGATCCTGCAGCCTGCCGAACCCACAAACACAGTGATCTTGGCTATGTGTGTCATATTTGGGTACATTTGACCAAAATGTACCCACTTACAGGTCTATACTGATTTGTGTTTTGGTGCATTAACATTTAAACTTTGTGACTGCTTTAATGTTTAAGCAGTGTGCCACCTAAGTTTGTTCCATTGACTCATTGTCTTTAAGTTGACTTTATATCGTTACAAAGATGGAAGCCCCAAAATGAGTTCCCATTTTGATCATCGATTAATTGTGAATTGTTTTTCACATTTGTATAAAGAAGATGCATTTAAGTTGTACTTAATTCACATAATAATAGTAAGTTCTGTTAACATATTTTACATTTGTGTGGATAAATTCTGCATATGAGTTTAGTATACCAGTTGTAAGTTCAATTAACTTAATTTACTTTTAATTTACCTAATTTATCTTAAGGTACTTTTATTCAAATTAAATATTTTTTCAATGTTTAAATTGTTGGCAGTAATACATTTAAACTGTTTAAGGCAGTCAGTTTCCTCAAACATTCTGAGTTAAACTAACTCATCAGGTTTTACAGTGAAGTGAAAGAATCTCCTTAAAGCTGAGAACCACAAGCCCGTCGCTGGCTGCATCCTCAGCTCACGCTCATGATAAGGAGCAAAGGGACAAACTTATCAGCAGCCTGAAGGCCAAACAGCTGCTTGACCCTGACTGCGTCCCTGAGGCCACACTGCACGTGTTCAGAGCAGCGTGTGGAGAGTCGGACACACACAGGGGACCAACCGGCCTTCAGTGACAACCCAGCTAGTCGGCAGAATCCGTGTTTGTACATAGTTACATAATCATACAGACTGATACCAAACAGCTGAAGGATGCTGTGTTTTTAAGAGTGAATGAGAGAAACACAATGATAAGACCCATTGGAACATCTTACTAGTTCCCAACCTTTTTATTTAAGAGAGCCCTTTTCTATCATTGAGTAGACTGAATAGGTGACATATTTCATGGAAATGCCATATAATATTCAATGCATAACAATAAGCCTTTTAAACATTTCTCTGTGTTATGTATTTTCATACAGACATAATCAGTCTTTTGTGAAAAATTAGAAGTTTTCTTATTGTTCTATTAGCTCTTTGGTTTGAACTTTTCTAATGCAGGACGAGGCTGTTTATCAGAGAGTGAAGGCTCTGTGAATATATCTCTTTATCCTGTTTATATCTTAAATAATAATCATTACTTTAAAAATAACAGAATGACATTTTCTTAAATTGCTTTTTATTGCTTTTATTGCATTGGTTGGTTTAATCTGTTATAACACTTCAATTTCATCTTAATGATTTATTTATTTGTATTATTTCAGTATCTAAATGTTTGTGCCCATGCTTATCTATTTATTTACTTTTACTATTCATTTAATTTAATTTAATCTATTATTATTATTTCTTTTTATTATCTTTCTTTTTATTAGAATTAGTAGTAGTAGTATTTTCTGATTCTTTTTTGTTTCATTTTATTACTGTTTCTCGACACCACTGTAAATAAGGGGAAACCTCAATGATTCTTCAGACTTAAATAAAGATTTTGAATTGAATTAAATGTATCCTTGTGTTTTGATCTCAATGAGATTAACAGTTTAAATAAACGATTCATCAACTTTAATAATAATAAAAACATGCAACCCCCCTTAAACTTTGACCTTAGATCGCAAAAACACCTTTAAACCCTTTCCCCTCCACTACAGGCCCAGAGCTGACCCTGTCAGAGGGTTTAAAGGCATTTTCAGATCCTTTCTTAAAGTCTAAATAATGTTCTTCCCTACGACAGCACGGCATCTTATCAGAGCTCCGAGGTCTGCCAGGAGACTGGTCCAGGGACAGCGGCGCATCAGGGAACTCCTCACATCATCCGCCTCTCAGAAATCCTTACACCTCAGGACTTCAAGACTAAACACTGTCATGCTTCCATTGATAAAGATACCACAAGCTTTTTCCTCTAAGCTCTGACTTGCCAATGCTTCTCCCAGCCTCCACTGAGGCAAATGAAAGGGAAACCCACCATAGTGTGCCAGGGAAGTTCCACCAGCAGCCTCCAGGACAGCTTCAGCATGGAGCTGTACTGGAGTGATGAGCAGCATCCTTCCAGAACACAGGCTCATAGGTGGTTTGATGATGGTGGAGCTGCTTCAGAATCTCTCATCGTTCATTTGGGAGCCACTTCCTCCACTCCCATGTAGTGGTGCTTGGCAACATTGTACCACTTTGATTAGCACCCAGCAGCTAGCTTAGCTTGCTCAGTGGGCATGGGAGTGGACATGAGCATCAGATCACGTGCAATGCATCCTGGTACATGGAGGCACTGCAGCTAGCAGGAGAACTTTTGCATTCAATATAGCAGCCACTGAGGAATTTATTGCTTCTACTGACTTCCTTTACCATCAGCACTGACTGGACATCCATCGTTACTGTAGAAGTCTTCACTGCTTTGGGTGGCACCAAAGGAAAATCCATGCACCTCCTGTTGGGCCTGAAACGGACCAATACTCATACTCATCTTTTTGTCCTTGATACGTACCCAGAACTCCTCCTAGCCAGTTCAGTCTTGGGCTCTCTGTGTTTCTAAAACTCTGCATGCTGATGCTGGTGAGGTACTCCTAAACCAGCAAATGTCCTTAAAATGTCTAAACCCCCAAAGAAACTAGAGTTATGTTGCGTTTAGGGACAGGGTTGAGCTGGATTAGGGTACTGGCATCTTTATTGGTCTAATTCAGGCGCTGGGTAGCCACAGAGTTTTTCGGGGGCACTGAGCCTTAAAATCCACATTCTGTGTTTATTCCGAAGTGCTGAACACTGTGAACACTGAAGCACAGTTTTATAGACTAATGTGCTAATGTTATAGCAGAGCAAAGGGCACAAAGTGTGCAACCAGATCCAAGGTTTCATGGGGACACTTTACTCCCTCTGCTGGGAGCTTCTTGTTAATGAGTGTACCATCAGATTTCAGATCAGCACTCAGTGGCAGCATGGCTGTGTCAATAAGCACTAATATAATCACATGTCTTCATTGTTGAAGTGCTGTCCTCCTCCCAGGTTGGAATCCAAGAGGAAATGTGGAGACAGAAAGTGATATTGGTGAGGCGAGGTGTCTGTAGAGCCCCAAAGGATCCCAAAAGACATCACCTTCAATAAAGAGTCCAATATGCACCACTCTGGTTTGCTTTTAACCCCCACACTCAGGGGATTAACCCTGCTGATTTAACAGGGAGAAGCTGCAAACTCACCTGTCAATCACAGCTTTTTTCAACCTAGATAAATTCAATAAAATATTCACAAATATGAACAGACAAGAAAAGCTCTGATTAGGACTTTGGAGGAGAGACTGAAGTCCTGGGAACGACTGAGCAGCGTTTGGTTTGATGGATGAAAAAAATAGGAAATGTGAAGGTTTACAGCTGTACACAGCGACAGGAAGTTGTGTAAGTGGGTGACAGAGCACACGAGCTAGCAGCAGAGTCAGTGGCAGCTTTGGGACAGTGCTGGGGCAGAAAGGCAAACCAACTGTGCATTTTATGACTACAGCACGTATGCATATAATCTACATACCCCAAGGCTTTATTTCAAACAGGCACAATCTGTATCTGTGACACTGACCTCAGCATTGTATTTGTCCAGTTTGTGCCTCATCACTTTGCATTATAACCTCCAATCTTTGCCAAAATTGCATTTTTTTCTAATAAAGGTGCTCATTTGCTGCCCGCTGCCTCAGCCACGGCACCAGTAAAGGAATCTATAGCTTTATAACATGACAGAGCAACACACCACACTTACCACAACCGTCTTTTGGTGTATGCATGTATGTGTGTATGTATTCATTTTATTAACTAGAACAAGATTCAAGATTAAACAGCGGGGGGGGGGAATGACACACAGCAAAGGGTCACAGGTCAGATTGGAACCCATGGCTGCTGCAGCAAGGACTGAGTTTTGGTACATGGGGGACCAGCTGGACCAGGTGAGCTCTGTGCAATGTATGTGTAATAGAAGAGCCCGTCCTGGTTTGTTCTGACAAGTGCCCTGTGTTGCCCTCTCTCTCTGGCACACTTTATCACAGATAAATTACCCTCAGATGTCAATACACATCCGGTTGTCTTTAAAGGCACACTATGCAAGATTTTTACCTTAATATAACAGCTTCAAAGTCATTTCGATGGTAAACAAACTCGTAGTATAGCGAATCATCCCGATAGAAAAGCAGGAGAGGAACGCCGCTGGCAGAACCAGCAATGCAAGTCTGAAAGGTGGCGCCCCGCCAAATCTCGCTAGAATCACAAATTGCTTTACGGCGCGACGTCACATACATCAACGAAATATAAAGAGGCAGCCTCAATGGAAGACACTAGCAGGCATTCACTCAGACGTTACCTGGTCAGTAGACATCTTCAGAGTCTATCTTTGCCTGTTCAATGTCCGACGCTTCCATCCTACTGAACATGTACTGGTATACAGGGGGGAGGGGATCAGGCAGTGAGTGCAGAGACGCAGAGCCGTATATAGAGACGGCTCTGGTGAGTGGTATTTACGACAGTTAACGTTAAATACAAGTACTCCGCAGCGACTCTAGGGGGAGCTGTTTGACAAAACCGGAAAACTGCATAGTATGCCTTTAATATTCAGTGGGTCTGGAGGAGAGTAGCATCGAGTTACAAGGTCAGCCTCTATTTCCATCCCCACATGAGGGAATCTGGTTAAATCCAAGGCTCTGTATTGGCAAAGCATCCTTTTTTTGGAAGCAGTGGTATCAAAAAGGGATCAAGGCTCTAGATGACCTTTATGATGAGGCAACATTGAAAATCTAAAACAGCAATCTGATATTCCACAGATTCAGTTTTTGAGATACCTTCAGCTGAGGCCTCTGCTGATACAGACCTTTGGCTCGCCTACTTGGCTCTCCCTAGTCTGGATATCTGGTGTTGAATTCAAGGCATTTTCGGAAAGGGTCACGAGGCCGCTATTACTCTATTCTGCTTCTTCATTTTGATGGTGATATGTCGTCCCTCTGATCAACATAGGACCTTATCTTATCTTAATTTTTCAAATAAAAAAAATGTCCAGAGAATTGAAAACAAGATTAATTCCATTTAAAATGTCAAACAGAGTCTGTTGGACCGCGTGATGATGCAGGGTGCTGGAGGTGCAATGGAAACGATGGTACTCTGGTTCACAGCCTGTGGAGCTGCCCGAAGGTACAGGAGTTTTCACTATCACTACATTCAAACAATTATTGGCAAAGATGTCCCTTTCACTCCAGCCTGGTGCATTTTGGGAGAGCCTGTTAGATAATTTAACTCACCCTGGGGCAGATTGGGTTCAAACCGCCCTCATGCTGGGACAGAAGCTGGTTGTTATGAATTGGAGAGCCTCCTCCGTGTCTGCAGCATCTCTGTGGTACTTCCAGTGGGGTGAGCTAGCTGCATTAGATCATTCAGGTTACTCAGTGAGGTGGAACTTTATCTCCGGTGGGAGCGATACCATGCTTATATAGATAGGGGTTAATGGGGTTGGATCGTCATAAGGCCCATACAGTTAAAAGGACTGACTTTGACTTGTGGATTACTATATATTATATGTTGGACCTTCTTTTAGTTTTTATTTGATTTTTTCTGTCATTATATCTTTATTTATATATATTTTTCTGTAGTTCATGTTATATTCATAGTTATTTAGATTATTTTGCATGCATTTGCGTAAAATACTGCCCCTTCTTGTCTTAAACAGCTATATATTTTATTTATCCATGTACTGTTTTATATGGCTACACCTGTATATGCAGTTATAATTGTCTTTTGTTTGTTCCTGTCTGTTGTTGAAATCATTTTCTAAAAACTTCGAAACATAATCATAGTTGATGATAATTAAAGTTTTCCAGGAAAACATAAATTATTTCCAGGCTTTTTGGTCATTAATCAAATATCCAGATGTTTTCATGACTGGAAAATAATCTCAGTTTCCAGGTTTTCCAGCGTGGGAACCCTGCTGACAGCCTGAAATGTTTCCACATCTGAAAATAAACTTCATGGTTTATAGAAACACTGAAGAAAGTTTCAAGCGTTAGACATAAAATGCGCAATACCTTGATATAATATGTAATCTTATCTGCTCCACTACAGAAGACAGTTAGCATTGTAGCCTGTCAACAGTAACTATCCTGTCCTAAGTTTCTGCCTTTTAACAGACAGTTTTTCCTTGCCCCTGTCTCCAAGGTCTTGCTCATGGTGGTACTGTTGGGTCTCTGTAAATAATGTTTTAAAGAGTTCGGTCTAGACCTGCTCTATTTGAAAAGTGTCCTGAGATAACTTCTGTTATGAATTGGCGCTATACAAATAAAACTGAATTGAAGACTATCAGATCAGAATTTTTATTACAAACACCAGCCATGGCTCAAAGCAGCTTACAACTTTCCAACATTCAAACAAAGGCAACATTTCAAATAAAACAGCAGAAAATGCAACTTCAACACATGCATCAACTATTGGTGGTAAAAATAAAAAACATTCTTTCGGTTCATTTTACAGTATGTCTGATTGTAGTTTAAGCTGGCTGTAAGCTGACAGGGTCAATAAACATGCTCCACAGGTCCGAAACGACTGGAAATTCAAACTGGGAGAAACTGAAATGACTTTCCTTGCTTTGGGGGCGTCCACACTGAAACATGGCCCACTCTTTAACCTTTGTGTTCCAGTCTACACAATCTGCTATTGCTCCTATACTTAAATAACAAGATAAACATCCCAAGGTGCAACAGGGCTGAAAAGGTCAAACGATCATGCGCCTGTTTGAGCGCACACCTCACTGACAGCAGGACATATAAACCACAGTGTGCCCAAACAGACCGAGACAGGTTCAGCACATTTCCTCAGTAACGTCTGCGGCTGAAAAACCAATCACACGTTCAGTGAAAGAAGGCTGGATTCTGTTGATCAATACTTTGTGATCACTTCAGCAGATCACACTTTTCCTAGCACACAGGTCCTTTAAGATCAAGGCAGTAACATAAACACGTGATACAAATCAAAGTAAATCATTAGCACTAAAATATACAGAAACACACTATTGCATCTCATCATGTTGACAGTATCTATTGCATTAGGAGGCAGGCCCACAGTGCACCTCTCACATTACAGTAACAGCGTGTTTACAGCAGACAGACAGCACCGGTGACAGTCCAGACCAGACTATAGCCAGAGAACAGCAGCAGGTTCACCGCTCTATGGAAGACCAATACTGCCAGGAATCACAAAAATACTAATAATCATTGTCATCATCATGTCCAAATATTCACTTTTTAATTCAAACGTAATAAGTAATAAGTTTGACTTGGGTTAAATTCTAACAGTCACTAAATTTAGACAAACAAAGAAAATATCCTGAAAATTCTAAATGATGACGTTATAAGTCAAAATACGTGTAAATTAAGAGATTAATACTAAGATTAAGTTTCCAATTGAAACTTATGATAGTCAAACATGTCAAAATCATCATAGTAAAACTTCAGATTCACCATCTATCTGAAAGTGTGACACATCAGTCAGACTGAAGTCAAACAATGTCTCATAATGTTGACTTTAAAAACACTGACTTGGTATCTTATAACTTTAACTCGGGATGAGTGAGTACACCATTATCTGTATCTGTATATTTCAAGCAACTGAATTATCTGTATTGATATCTGTATTTGGAGTGGGTGGGGCTTAAACCAGGTAAGGGCGGGACTAACCAGAAGTTGTTAATGTAAGGCTGAAATTGATCAGAAGTTGCTATATTAGTTATAAAACTATTTACAGAACGGCCTCAGAAATGCACTTCAGAGCAAAGTTTTTGATCACAAGAGTAACAGAACTATTTACAGAAGGTTTTTTTTTTTTCATTTACAAGTGTGGATACTATCGTAAAAAGTACATCATCTGTACCGGATAATCATCACATCTGCGTACACACTCATCCCTAATTTCAACCGACCTTAGTATTGTTTAACATGACCAATCTTAACTAATCATTTGTTTTCCTGGCAGTAATGGGTTTCCCCTGTCATTCTTCAGATGAAAACAATCCAACATTCATGTTCAAAATATATCTCTAACAATAATTCTCAGTCACACTCACAGTAGCAGCTCAGAGTGAGATGAATAAGGCAGTAACAGTTTCAGAGTCCTCTGTGAACTCTGTGCTGGCTGTAATAAACTTATGTTTGAAGTCATTTTAAAAACACATAATGAAGCCAGATTGTGTAACAGTGAGGACTTCTGGGTGATAACCTTAACCCAGTCGTTATGATTCTGTGGGATATGGAAAATATGGTCGTAGGGTACAGCACAGTGAGTTTCTCTAAGCTGGTATCATGAGCTGTGGCACTGGACCTCTCCACAACAGCCACTACAAACTCTCTGCTGACCAGAAATGATTCTTCTGGAGTGGAGTTGTCTAGTTTCAGCAGCTGTGTTTAATACACAAACTACAGTTCAATTTTCTTTAAGTGAAAATCCATCCTCTTATCAGATGGGCTGTTTACTTCCTACATTTCCCAGAATTCCATTCACAAAACCCAAAGAATGGATAAAAGCTTGATGCAAGGCGAGTGAATGATGACACGAAACGATCCAGCATGGATGTCTGACATAAATCACATCTTTAAATCTGGCCATTATTCTTCGGAAGTGGAAAACAATGACACCGCAAAAAAACAATATGGTCCCGAAAAGGATGTGACTAATGTGGCTGTCTCAGCTGATTCAGGGTGGACTGTTCCTTTAAGAGGGTTAAGCTAGGTTAAGGTGTTAAAGTAAGAGGTCTAGGAGTCAGCAGCATGCCAGAGAACTGTTTACAGTACAAATGAATGAATGCATACTGGACTGATGAGCTGAATGATCCCCATACTAAAGCAGATAACTCCTCCTCAGACAGACCCACAGAGCCACCAGGGTCTGACACCCACCAGGCGCTCTATCTGACTGAGACACTTCTGCTCTTTCACTTCCTCATCATTTTCAGTCTCACCATCCCATGTTCAGTAGTTCATATGAAGACCGGGTCCGAAGGAGGATCTGACGACCAGGCTCTGCTGCCACAGGCCTACAGTCATCAAAGAAAAGCTCATCTTAAAACATGAAAACAGGATGTACTGGATGTGAGAGCATCTGCAGACTCCATCTACTCCTCCTCCTCCTCCTCCTCCTCCTCCTCCTCCTCCTCGTCATCATCCTCGTCATGGCAGTGGGTGATCTCCTGCGGAGGCTGGGGGAAGAAGTGGGGGGGCTGGATCTCGCTGATGGACCGGGTCAGCTGATGTCGTTTGCACTCCATCTCTTTGAGGTCGAGGTCGTGGCGGTTCCTCGTGGCCAGCGGTGACTCCGTGTCGATGATGCGGACGTGGGTGTGCTCCACCGTTGACTCGTGGGGCATCTGGGAGAGGATATGTAAAGTGCAGGTGACAAAAACGTCGGAGGCTGTGTGAACTCTGGGTCAGAGTCAGAGCTCTGAGTAGAACTCACCAGCACATGTGCCGCTCTGAACAGATAGCTGAAGGGGTAGTAGAGCAGGTTGATGAAGGAGGCGGCGTACAGGTCGGCGTAACGCATCACTTGGGAGGCAAACAGCGTCTGTCGGGATCCACTGCGGAACAGGCTTCCCATCATGCCGTAGCACATGTCCATGTCGTGGGTCACTTTCTGCAGAGCACACACACGCACACGCACACGCACACACACACACACACACACACACACACACACACACACACACACACTGATTAGTTTCCTCAGTCTATGCAGGAAACATTATTACTTTTAATACAGGTAGTACAGGGAGTGCTGTGCATACAAATTCCCTTAAGGACAATTCAGACCAAATCAGGCAGTGCAGCTCTAATGCCAGTCCTCCCCACTCATTTGAGAGGGGGTAGTTTGTTTAGGCTGCGGTGGTGGGGCCGCAGGGGAGGCCCAAAACGTTTAAAACCTTTGGAGAAACACAACCTGACGACAACTGTTCCACAGTGAGCCTCAAATATCAGTGCGCTATCAGACGGAGTTCACGGATCAAACTCAGATATATGTGTCCTCGCTCGGTTTATTAAATCATGAAATAAGAGGGAGAGGGAGCTCTGGCAGCTATAAAGCCGCTGAATCAGATAAATTAAACGCTATTTACGCTTTAAAGCATAAATAAACATGCCCACATCCACACACAGCGCTGCACCACCCTGTGGCTCATTACCACAGCACCTGATTTGCTCTGAATACGGCTTTACAGTGATAAATAAAGTTGCAGTGAATTGCTGTAGCAGGTTTTGAGAAGAGGTTTTAGTGTTACCAGTGGATGGCTCAAAAGGACATTTTTCCATTTTTATGTCAGTGGTGACAGCAGCATGCACATTTGACAGCGCTATCCACTCATATACCTACTGCAGAACTCAACAATGAGGGATGAAAGCAGGCTCAGTACTATCTACTGGGCTGTGAATGTTAAGAGCTCCTCAGTGTTCACAGAGAGTCCTGAGACAACACCAGCAGGGACACTGTCAGTGGCAGTAATGGCAAAGGTCACAAACTGCAACACAATATTTGACACAATGATCCTTCCAAATCTCACACTGGTTGACTTCTATGTTTAGCAGAGCTCTTTCATAAGTGAAAGCCGGGAGGAAGTAACGTCTGTGTGTGTGTGGGAGGAAGATGTACCTTAATCCGTCTCTGCAGTGAGCTGATGTCTGGCCTCTCATTGCTGCTGCTGTCCAGATGCCTGAGGACCAAACACAAGTGGACTGTGATCTGTGAGCCCAGCTCTGTTTAAAATATACTTTCACATCAGCTTGAGACTACATGAGCTCTGTGCGTGGGATCAAGGTAAAGATTGCAGTCTGGTGGTGTTTCTACAGCATCTGAAGCACAGGTCTGAACCACTGCACCACAATATGAAAATACTTAGTAAAGGGTTAGAAACAACTAGCATTAACACTGTGAATGATGCGTCTCCATCAGTATACATTTGAAAATGAGCGCAGCGGTTTCACAGACTCCCACACAAAGGGGAGGCTGGGGGAGGTGGGCCGCTGCTCCTTTTTATTGAAATGTCTGACACAAAGTAGTCCCAAAGGGTCGACTCTATGTCACAACAGAATAGGGTGATTTAAACAGAGGTGTTTCAGAACCTTAATGTCAATTTTACAACAGTATAGTCATATAATTCAGTTTACAGCTCAAAAATCAGGTTATAGAGTGGAGTAGCTCTTTAAGACATTGCAAGACACAACAAATAGCTGCCTTAACAAAGAGGAACTCACTTGTAAAGCTCTGCGAGGAAGCAGTCCAGAGACTGAAGTTCCTCAAATATGGCTGAAAAACAACAACTGGCATTAGTACATCACATGGCCTTTATAATGCAAGTCTTTAATAACCAGACAATCCCAACATATGACACTTTTTACTTTTGACAGACTTGCATCTTTTATTACTGATTGTTGAGTCTCATTCCCAGGGTCCCAAAGTGTCTGCATTTGACGACCTGGGAATGAGACTAAGCAATCTTTCTTGCCTCTGATTGGTTGTTTTCGTTATTCATCAGCAATAATGATAAAACGTTTTGTTTTTTTAAATGACCTACTGCAGCTTTCAGTAACAGCGAGCTACTGCTGCTATTGTTAATGCTACTAAACTAGTAATAACTGGATTTCTATTTAAGCCAGATCATAACAGCTCTAAGTTTTGTTAATGCTGAATAATACTGTTTAATGTAATGAAAACAGTGGAGTTATAGAGCCATATGTAGGAATGAGTTTGTGTGTGTGTGTCCATTCTCACAGCTCTTATCAGTCCACACATGCAGCTCCTGAGCCAGCTCAGGTATGACCAGGAAAGTCCTCCAGCCCTGACGCTTCTTGGATTTGAGAATGTCGCCGAAAATGTGGTCTCCGATGTAGATGATGTCCTTTCCTTTAGTACCCAGCAGGTCACACACGATGTCTGAAGAACCTGGGAGAACAAATGTGGCATTTCCAATATGTAATTTTGGGGACTTAAATACCTACACTATCAAAACCATGAAGTTATGTGAATACTATATTCCATTTCTGACTATTAGACCCTCCTAAATGTTACACACTGGACCTTTAAAGGACTGCTATGGGTCCCTTAAAATGGCAACCTTAGCCTAAGTGCTTTTAAACAAGCGAGCACTGGATAGTAAACGTGAGCGTAACCACCTGTCACGACTAAAAAGACGAAGGAGGGGAGCTCAGTACAGACAGCCTCGGACTTGGAGTTCTGTGTGACAACTGCAGAGAAATGATTGTGGCATTCTGCACGTACAGCCTGCAGTAAATTCTATAAGACATAGGAGTACACAAGGTGTTACATTACAGGTTGGTGGTAGTAATGCTGTCCTCACACCAGGCTAACCAGACGGCACATCATGTCTTTTATTCCTGTGCTGCAGAGAGTAGTTATTTATGGTGATTACTCTTAGTTTCCTCTATTACTATCATTTAAAAGACAAATTTTAATCCATTATAAAATATACAGATAATTCACATAGTGCGACCTATTTTGAAGCTGCAATAGGTAATTTCTTCTTTTTTTTTTTTTTTTTAAACAATCAAAGCTGAGAAAGATAGTTGATTGTTGTGATTCAACTATAAACTATCTTCAAGCTACCAAACCAAAGCATTTTTATATCTTTCTCGGCTCTGATTGGTTGAGTTTGTCCAGGCCCGGTCTTGCAAATGCCATCAGGAGCACTAGGAGGAGCCAGAGGAACATGATGATTTTTCCAGATTATCTGTCTCATGTTCTACTGTCAGGATATAGTGAGTTTCAGCAAATATTACATAAGTAAGTTACTTACTGCAGCTTAAAATGTAACAAGAGTCCTGAGTCCCCTTAGTCTGGGCACACCCACTTTAGCTTAAAACCATGTAAAACCAAGGTAAAGGTTTCAATCTGCTACATTATTGTGGAGTGAGAAATGATCAAATTCATGAGTGCTAACATTTCCAGACACATTTGCATGGTTGTCTGTGCTTTAAGAAGGTTCTTTACCTCCAGAGTAAACAATGCCATGCTGCAGAGGTCCGGTGTAGGTACCGATCTTCAGCCGACCTGTGGTCTGAAACAAACCAAGACTCACACACTTATACAATTTTTATTTACCTGTACACAGCGAAAAAGTGGTGGACCCAATTCTTTTCTAAACTAGAAATTAGATTGTAAAAATAAGCATGCGCCTACAGTGCACACTCACAATGTCCACCTGCCGCAGCACAGTTCCCTCTCCAAAGAACACAGGTTTGCGGGCGTCCACCAGGATCAGGTCAAAGTAGGACTGCCAGGGCCGGTGAGGTGTGCCCGGCTGCAACAAACAGGCACGCAAACATATACATCATTTATGATGTATTGGTCGGCCAATATTGGCCTATCACAAACCTGTTATTGGCGAATGTTATCCGGTATGCACCGATACAGGTATCTTTGCATAGACATATGGGTGCAAATTTGGTGCACAATCCACATAGAAAAGGTCTATTTTCATACCAGCTCAAAAAGTAATCGGCTCAGACACCTCATCTTATTCATCAGTCATGACAAATGAGATCTGTATTTGTCTCTGTTGAATGCACTATCGTCATACTGTTTTCAAAGAAAATCAAAGATTTCTAAGCACGGTGCTGCAACTAAAATCTATAGTGATTCCTGACATTCCTAAAAATGTGATTAAAGCACTGGTGTTACCTTTGGGCCGTGAGGAAAGTCAAACAGGTAGGTCATTATTTTCTGTAAGAAGACAGGAGAGTTTTTTGTTAACATCCTGGCCCAAAACATCACCGAAAAATAGAAACTATACTCCACTAGGCAACTCACAGCAGCACCATTCATGCAACTGTGAAAACTAATCATTCATTCAGTAAAGTCTTTACAGCAGAAACAATAAAACGGTCAAAAGAGGCAGTAGTTTGTAGTCTGACAGTAAACTTTGATCTCACCTCTGTGTATTTGTAATCACTGTTGGTGGCCAGAAATACTTTGGCTACTTCATTCATGCGACTGAGGAGAAGAGGAAGCTTCGGCTTGGTGGAGGGAAAACAGAGTAAGAGTATTTGTCACCCCAACTACAAAGTGACAGTCTAGGATGGTATATAGTTACATGTATAAGCAGGCCTTATTGTGCTGGTTTACTTACATCCTTTACCACATACTTCTCTAGGTTTTCAACCGTCTTTTCTTTTAAGGAGCCCTGTGAAAATAAATCAAAGAGCGGACTGAGGAATGAACTGACTGCAGGGGTCGGCCGACAGCTGCCTGGAAACAGGTTTCATGTGGATAAGGAACTGATTGTACCTTGAAATGAACCCAGTCCACGCCGTCTCGGACGTCCTGGAACATGCTCTTGTAGGACATGAAAAGGTCGCCGTCTTTGAAGCCATTCTCACAACTACAGAGACAGTTAGAATCAGGTTAACATTTGAGTCTGAGTAACATGGAATTCTACTTCTCCAACGTGGAATAGTGAAATTCCACTGAACATGATCACTGTCAGTAAACAGGGTCTTGTGACAGCTTCAGTGTGCAGTACCTTGTGTATCTGGAGCAGTTACTGAAGAAATCAACCAGGCAGGCAAAGAGGTAGGTTTCTGAGGAAGAAGACATAAGACTAGAATGAGTAAGACTGACTGCAGACTTGAACATCAACGTGACCAATCAACACTGTAAAGAAAGCTTTGGACAGCTTTGTCAAGGCTCACTTTTCTTTGATTTTGTTTAGAATACAGTAGAACTTTTTACTATTATTCACAGTAGTATTAAAGTCAAGCAAAATTTGTATGACTTTATTTTGATAGGATAATATCTAATCTAATCTAATACAACGTTCTACTATTACTACTAATACTATGATCATATCAGAAAAATAATCACCAACTTTTTTGATTACAGTTAAAGTTTTATAAAAATAACTGTCATATTTGCAGAAACTTTCACTAGATCCTGACAGAGCTAAGAAAGATAGTTGACTGTTGAATCTCATTTTCAGGGTGTCAAATACAAATGCTTGGAATGAGACTCAACAATCAACTATCTTAAAGTCGCCAACCTAAAGTGTCTTTATATCTTTATCGGCTCTGATTGGTTGTTTGTCAGGCCCGGTGGATTTTTGCAGATGCCATTAGGAGCACTAGCTTTAACTTATGTGAAGTCTGAGTATCATGAAAAGTGCTCTATAAATAAAATGTGTAAAAATAAAAAATAATAAAAATCTGTTACTTTATAGACTAAATGCACCCATTATTCAAACAAATGACTACACACCCAATCAAATAAGATGGCTGAAGCTTGGTGGTCAAAAGTGCTCAGCTGATTCACCTTCAATACCTAAAAATGTTACATTTACGATATATCACGTTTTAATACTCAGCCTCAGTTTTACTTCCAAGATGCCCAAAGGTTGCAGACTAGTTGTTTCATTATCTTACCAGGCAGGTTAAAGAGTGTGTTGAGGATGTAGAAGCGGTCTGTGTCTCCACGTTGAATAAATTTGTTGGGGTACATCTCTCTGATGTCAGGCCTGTACAGAGTGAGTACAGATACACAAGAGGGTGACAAGTGATTAAGAGGGTCAAACCAGGAAACACAAGTTATACTATAGATTGAGTTATGTGCATTACATTGCATTTCTATTAGCTCCCTCTGCAGTGGTCAGGAATCCTGCCACGCATGTGCTTGTTACAAACATGTGAGATTCTAACAACACACAAATCTGCTCATGGAGACAATGCCAACAGTGGTTAAAAACTTATTTAACAAGTTTAAATCCGGTCTATAAAATGCTCTTGATTATACTGTATGTAGACGATGTAGATGTTTTAATGGCTGCTTATAAGCCGGACACCTAGACACACTCCTGTATCTTACTGTATGCAAGATACAGAACTATGGTTTAGCAGTATTACATTTGTGATACCTTGAGAGTTTCCGTATAGTGTCTCATTTAGAATTTTGAATATTTTTATTATCAAAACTTGGCCAAAAGCTGGCATATGCATATATGCATATCCTAATGTAAATCCTGCTTTGGGCATCGTCTGACTTTTTGTCTAGCACCACAAGCAGGTGAAGATTTTCACTTATTCTGTGAAATATCTCAACATCTACCGGACAGATTGACACAACATTTGCTGCAGAAATTCATGGTTTCCAGATGACTTTGGGGATTCTCTGACTTTTCTCTTGCCACACCATGAGGCTTTGTGGTTTTGAGTGAAATCTATTGGCTGGATTGTCATTAAATTTGCTGCAGACATTAATATCCCTCTCAGGATGAAATGTATTAACTAACATCAGTTTCCCCCCCCCCAAAATACTTTGTTTAAAAGACCTGCAAAACAAATGGCATTCCCATCAGCCTCAGCTGTGCTCTGCATTTAGGGTTGTTTAGTTAATGTTAGCTTGTTAACATGCTAAACTAAGATGGTGAACATGGTATAAATTGTGTATCTGCTTAACATCTGCATGTTAGTGTTGTCATTGTGAGCATGTTATAGCAAGCTGACCTAAGCATTTAGGTCACAGTGCTTTGTTATGTTTATGATTAATTTAAATAACACTGTTGTAGGTGGAGGAATGATCTGACAATTTGGATAATGATGGACTATGGTAATAGCTCAGTGGGAATAGTGGCCCTCACCCCCTCAAGAAGTTGAATCCGTGCACACACACCAGGATGTTCCCGTAGGCATCCACTTTGAGCAAGTTGCCATACATTGTGTCAAACACCAGACCTCTGAATAATAGAGACAGTAAATCAGAGACAGAAAGCACACTTGAGAATGACAATTTGTGGCTCTGGTATTCAAATTTTGAAAAGGCAGGGCTTTGGGAACCAGCCTGGTGGGGAAGGAGGGGTCGTAGACAAAGTTGAGCAGCTCTTGAGGATATCCAATGGACACCAGGCGCTCCACCGTCAAGTCGAAGCCCAGCGACTCGTACTCAGGAGATTTATACACTAGACAGATAGACAGATAGACAGACAGACAGGTTCATGTTTACAACACAAAAAAATCAAGATGAAGGCAAAAAACACTGATCTAACAAAAAGACCACAGTTAACACTATAAGTCTGACATGATATTAGTCTATTATATAAAACACCTTTTTGGAAAGCTACCCAAATAACGTTTATTCAAAAACAATCTTTATTTTTTATAACTTTGACTTCTGCTTGGAAATGCAGTTGTCACAGCAGATTCTTTAAAAACAGACAGTGATGCATTAAAATACACTGTGGAGATTGGAAAAAATTACTTCTCTAATAATTTGTTCGCTCATAAATGCAGCTGTCCACAGGCACAAAACCAGTAAAAACTATACTGGTGTGAGCTGTTGAAATCCCCAGCCTGTCTTGACTGGCTCACGGCCAGAAATATGCACACACACACAGCTGGACGGCAGCAGTTCGGGTTACAGCGGCTGCTTCAGCACCCCAAGAACACACAGTTTTGCAGACTTGCAATCAGTGTCCGAAATTAACTTTTTGACTCCCCGGCCATGGTGACTGGTAAATGAAAAAAGTCTATCAGCCAAAATAAGAAATAGCTTTTTTGTGTCACATATAAATTGGTTTCAATACCTTTCATTGAGATGATAAGGTATTTTGTTTAATACAAACTTGAAGAAGAGGCCAGAGTGAAATTTGAAACTAAAGCCTGAATACAGTCTCATAATTCTACTTCAGGTGATTAAAGCTGCAGTAGGTTGTAGTTGTAGGTGTAGTTTTGGTCATATTAGCTGAAACTTTCACTATATCCTGACAGTAGAACATGAGACAGATAATCTGTGAAACAATCAGGTTCCTCTTGCTCTTCCTAGTGCTCCTAATGGGATTTGCAAGAATCCACCGGGCCTGAATGAAAACAACCAATCAGAGCCAAGAAAGATAGAAAGACACTGGGGCTGAAGAGGTAAAATGTATGGAGAGTATGTGTAATTTTTCCATTAGATTCCACTTTACCCACTGAACTTTATCAGTGAGAATGAGTGAGTTGGGTGTAGGCTGTAGCCACTACAGTTTGAACTTCGTGTACTGATCTAGGCTGATACCACGCCACTCACACTGCACTTACCTGCCAAAGTGTAATCCATATCAAACCCAAAGCACTTGATCTTCTCCATGGCCAAGCTCCGGTTGACAAACACTCTGGGAGGGGAGAACAATGTATGGTCAGTGCAATGCGTGAAAGCTGGCAGATGAAATGCTGCACTGCTTAGACTTCCTACAAAACACATGTAACTCACAGTGAACAGTAGATAAATCAGTCTGGTGTAACATTGCTCCGTAAATACTGAAAATGATCAGAGCTAGAGCTACAGTAGCAAAAACTCAACTGAGGTCAGGTTTTGATGCATGGCAGGCTGTGTTTGAGGGGAACTACCATGAAATAAAACTTAACAAGCACAACACCAACATACATGCAATCCAACTGGTTATTTATACAGTGAGCAGTACATCTGAAATCAATCCTCTTAGCCCTGCCAATAGCCTGGTTGCCGTCAAACAGTGAGCTTGTGTGATTTTTGGTCATCACATGTTGCAATTCTCCTAAAAGTAAGAATTGAGAGTCAAAGTAAATAAATAAAACAGAAAATGTCCATTACACAGAAGGATGTTCCATGTCTGAACTCAACATTAAGGTAATTTGTGCTATACCCAGAACCACCACAATCTTGCTCCTGCGTTGACACCAAAATAAGGTGTGATCAGTATATGTAAATCCTACCTTCACTGATATGAATAGGTCAGATTAAATATTAGAAATATTTCTCTGTATAACACAATACCAATTCAACAGCGCCACAAACTACAGACTTTCAAAATGCCCATATATTTTAATTAATCCCTCTCTAAAACAAAAGAAAACTAAAAAAATACTAACTAGATTGCATTAGTTTTAGCGAGGGGGCAAAAACAAACCTCAGAGTATATAATCAAACAACAAACTGAAAATCCTACCAAGCATTTGATTCCAGATCCAACTTATTTCCATTATCAGTTATTCTGTGGAATAATATAATAATAACATTCGATTAATCGTTTGATGTTCTTGTTATCCAATCAACAGTCCAAAACTCAAAGATACAAGTGAGTTTACAGTAATAACAGAGAAAAATCTTGCTGGAATCAAAGAATGTCTGGCATTGTGTTTGATAAATGGATTAACTGACTGATCAATTACTAACATAGCTGACATTTAATTGTTTGTCCATCGATCTATAAATCCATTCATTGTCTCAGCTCTGTACTTGGCAGTGTGAAACATTGCAGTACAGACAAAGAAAAGTAAGAAAGAAAAAGTCAGCCCTAACCTACAGAGGCCCTGAGAGGAAATTGTGAAAAGAAAAAATTCTGGTGATCCATTTTCTTGGTCTGATCTAAACTGTTTCGTTGGGAAAAGGGTTTTGCTTTTTTACTAAGTTCTTTCATTTTTTTCCCCAAAGAGGTAAAAGGTAAAACAGGTATTTTCTTACAGGTGAGTTCTAATTTCTAAATACACTCTAAACACAAGGTACATATATTGTGATAGTGTGTGTTAGCAAGTTATGTAACATCACTGTCTATATATTTTGGTTAGAAATGCATTTTAATTGGCGCTAATCTGCCGTTAGCATTAGTTATACTGTACATGAGTCTTGCGCTTAGAATGCATTGAGTAATTACAGTTTCTCAATTGTTTACACACAATTACTGGTACTTGAGACGCAATGACCACAACATGTAACTCATGCACCGACCCCCCTGAACCAATTCTGCTAAACTACAAGCACAATTCCTGCTTTACACTCAAATTGCAGTTCTAAAACACACTTCTTTCAAAACACTACACACAATTCTCTGCATTTGGCACAATTTTCAAGAAGAAAATATCTTGTTTTCACAAGGAACACACTGTCATTCAAAATTCTAAAGTTAATTGCCCTACTATGCACACTGACTCATCACATGGGCAAACACCTGTCACACAGTTTTACAATTAGCAATCAGAGCTTTAGCATAAAGGGCAACAGGTTAGGGTTAGATATAGCAGTTGATGCTTTTCATGGCTGGATTCGCCATGCTAGGCGATATTTCCCCCGCTGCTTGGCCAGGGAAAACACTGCTTGTGATGTGGATGAGGTGCTGTGGCCAGACCCAAACAGAAGAGAGGATTTTTTACTGTAACTGTATACAGTAAATTCTTCTGTTGTTTTGTATGTAGACCACTGTATGTGCAACTTTGTGTTGGTTGGGATGTACACTGTGCACATTGTTTTTGTGGGAAAAATTAAATATATTTGTTACCATGTATTCAAGTCATTATGATGAATGGAGAAGAAGTGTTTTCCATTCATCATAGTGTTTTACATTGAGCACATCAGTGTTCAACTGGTTCTTATAAATGTCTATTCATATGATGGTTTGTGTGTGTCATTTGAAAACAAAATACCATTTTGAGAATGGTTTTTGCCCATTGTGTGTGTGTGTGTGTGTGTGTGTGTGTGTGTTTTCTGATTTGTGTGTAGAGTTCTGAGAGTATGAGGCATGCTTTCAGAAAATGTGTGTAAACAATCGAGAAAAACTGTAAAACCCATCTGGAAGAAAACGTGAATGCTTTTATGCTGATTTAGACCATGTGGTAGCGGTGCACTTCAGCCTCTTGTGGCTGAAATGAGTATTACAACAACAAACTCTTTCAGGCAAAACTTTTTTCTCACCTGTTCTTCAATTACAAATACAACAATAACAATGTATTTTGTAATATTCATATTGTCTGTATTCTCATAATGTACTTTTTTTATGTCACTATTCGCTGATAATATTAATTGAATAAGCAGTTGTTTTTTGTTATATTCATTTATTTATTTTTTTATCCCTCACACTCTCGCCCTCCTACAGCCACTATCAACATGTAAACTCTGTTTTTGAGTGTTGGTTATGTAAAACGTCCCATATGTCTATTTCTAACACAATTTACCTTTCTCTCTTTTTTCGAAAACCCCTTTCTGTTTTTCTAGGTTTTTTAAAAGAAAAGAAAAATTCTCACAGGAGAAAAACTATTTAGAAAATGGATCACCAGATTGTTCATTGGTTTCTCACGGCCAAGAACCACCAAATCTGATTTATTTGAAATTACTGATTTATGATAATCTTCTAGTTGAACATCTTTAATGCTAATCATCAGTTGAACAATTACTGACACAAAAATAGCACCTTCTTGGGTCTCTTACATTGCTGACTGCAACATATAATCTGTGACTCTGCAGACTGCACACTGGCCTTGAGTTTCTATTCAGATGGTGTGAGAGATGATATCAGATTGACCGTAACAGATGAGGATTAAAGGAAAGATGCAGGAACAAGGGAAATGTAACAGAAGGAGCTCACACTAAGAAATCACAATGACCACCAGCTGGAAGAAGTCTCCACAAGAAGAAACCCAACTCACAGTCAGTGTCAGTATGGATGGAGTTCCATGAGAGTTGGATGGAGAATCAATTCACATCATGGACATCAAAACGGAAGAGTCATTTAGTCAGTAGTCGCAGTTTTGTTCAACAACAAAAGGATGGCATACCTCATTGCAGGATGGTTTTGAGCCAGATCCCTTGGAAAGCTTTGTAATAGAGAATACATGCAGTATTACCACTGAACTCTGGGCTGCTGCTCTAAACACTAATGTCCTGCTCCATGGCTCTGCTCTACAGTCTTTGTCAGTGAGTAATCTATGTTCTACTGCAACTCAGGACACTGTTATATCCCAGCACCAGTAATAAGACCTGTCCCTACTACCTGCTATCATATTAAAGTCTCACACATAGAAAAGTCAACATAAACACACTGGACATTTCAAAGCATTATTTAATAGGCTTTATGTAACCTATACCAGCAAACAACTATTCTCTATGTAAAATTATAGTAGAGTCATGGTGCCACAATTCCTCGGTCTGTTTTGTTATCGCAGCCTCTCTGAGGTTTGTTTCAGCTGAGTAGAGCAACTCAAACTACTGCTTTTATCATCTACGTCAGTGAATTAGGGATTTATTTCCACCAAACCAGCCTTTGAGGAGATCACATTGGGCTTTGGGAAACACTGATCAACATTCTTCACAATTTTCTGAACCAAACGATGGATCCTCTTAGTGGTCATTCAGCTTCCGAAGTTATCTGAACTGAAACTGAGGATTGGTTCAACTTTGATAAATGTGTGCTTTTATTTTGTAATGGGATCATGAGGAAGAAACTTCCATCCTCTGTACATTTGCATTTAAGCTGAAGTTGCTTTAAAGCTTCATCAAGTGATTGAGCTTGACACTTCATTGCTGAACTTGGAAACCAACAGTTTCAGTCTTCAATCAAGTGTCAAACGCAATCTTTAAGCCAGTGTGATCCTGAAAGTGCTCAGGAAGTCCCAACATCTACAGTTCAATGATCACTGAGCAAAGTCCAAGACTGTGTGATATGGCTGAAAGCAGACCTTGAGTGGACATTATACAGGGCTTTTTTAATGAAACATTTTCTTATGATACCCAAGTTTCTCTAAAATCTCAAAGTAATACTTTTTTGATAGCTTACTTTGACAAACATGTTTATTGACAAAACTCTTTTACTCGTCGAACGAAAGAAGCCAAAGCTGTTAATGTTGTTTGAGAACTTTGCCTAAATATAATACTAGTAAATTTTGATTTAAATCAGGAACTATTTAATTGAAGAATAAGTTAAGAAGTTTTTTTTAACAAGTCAGCTTTCGGTTTTGATACTGGTGCTATGGACACACTTTGGTTGGTACATAATAGTACTGCAGTTCTACGATACAGATACAGAGAAAGGCCAGTAAGTATAATAATAATCAGTAGTAGCGGTATTATTAGGAAATAGATAATTGTAATTATTAAACCATTTTTTTTAATTATTGGACAGAATAATCAGCAAACAAACAACAGCCGTAGCTGCTTTACAGGTTTCAGTCAGACACTGACTTGTAGTTCTGTTTCCTCTTGCAGTGGAGTAAATTCCGGTATTAGCACACAGCTGCCTGCAGCAAGAGCCTAAAAATAGCTGCATATTGTCATAACAAGACCCTTCCCAATGAGATTACTAGAACCAAAAAGCATCCAACCCCCTTTCTTCACTGGGGATCCTGGGTTGTATTACGTCCCCCCCCCTTTAACATCATAGTAAGCAGCTACAGACACACTGTGAACACAGTTGTTTTCAATCATGTAGCAGTTTTAGTGAGGACAAACTGTCACTGAAGCAACAGAATTGATTTTGTGACTGATTAAACTATATTTAGTCTAATTTTGAGTCTAGATTTTTTCCCCTCACATGGTAGATATCCTTGAATAAGCAAAACAAACAAAGGGATTTTCATTATATTCAGTACACACGTGAGGGGCTAATATCTATATTTTCCATATGGTTTGTAATTCATTTTCAGGAGGTATGTCTGTCTGCTTCTATTAAACCTCAGATCTTGTACTACTGACTCAAACACATCTAAGAGCCTCTCACACATGCATCGGACTAATGGAAAATGGCTCCTCAAGCGAATGTTTTCACCTGCTGTATGACTAGTTCTGTGCAACTATTATTTCTATGGAATATACAGTTAGGATACACATAGGAGCCCCTCGCAGGTGTGTAAAGAAAATAAAAATCCCACAAAATGTTTTACTGCTTATTCTAGAGCTAGATCCATATATTATATGTATATTTTATATTATATTCAATTTGTAACAATAACAGCCGATAAACTGTACAATGAACCCAAACAGTGAACACAATAACTGCAGGAAGTTTGTGTAAAACCAGAGATTTGGATGAATTTTAGATTATTAAGATTATTTCCTGTGAATATTGATCACAGATTAGTTTTCTTGATATTTTTAGGAACTTTTTATACAATTCTGTATATATTTTATAACAATCATACATACTTAATATGCTTCTTTTTGGATTAATTTAGTGTTACCTTCTTCTGACACTTGGCCTATTCTATTAGCTCTTTGGCTGTTTTAACTGCATATTTTTCTAATGCAGGATGATTGTGTCCAGGTCTTCAAAGTATAGATCTTAAATAATAATATAAACTTTAAAAATAAGTTTTCTTACACCCCTTAAAATCAAGAAGGCTTCGTGACTCCTTGCGGCAGTCCAAACCCCCAGGTTGGGAACCACTGTTCTAGGGCATTTTCTACCATTTAAGGAGAAAACAGTAGCCCCATGATTTAGAGACTTTAGACCAATCGGAACAATTTTATGCAATATAGTCTTTGGGCATAAATCGAATAATGTAAAACAGCAAAAATAAAACAGTATTAAACATAATAAACAGACAATAACATAAAGCAAACATGACACAAAGCTGCAACTGAGCAAAAATGGGCCAAATAATTACACACAAAACATGACATTGTGTGCATCCTGCGTCAAAGATGAGGATGGCTGGAGACAATGGCTCTGAATATGGATGTTGAAACTGTTGGGAGAATTGGTCTCTTGGTATTTTTTCACATATCTAGAAGTCAGGAAAGGCTTGTACGACATTTAAAGGCAAGAAAACGACGTAATAAAAATTGTGTTTTGCTGCACTGATTTGAGTTGTCCATTTATCATTTAACTTTTTTTAAGCTTTTGATGATGCATGCATGGACAATTTTTGAACACTTTCTTTTATGAACACCATAATGATAACACTGCTCTATTGTTGCCTGGAAGGAAATGAGCAGCCATATCTGACACTGAGTTCATGGCTGGGGTTCAGCCATGATCCTGCAAACTTTGAATCAGCTTGCAATTTTGCAGGTTTATACTTTCTCTATTACTGACTTTGATAGTTAGTGGAAATCCAATGACTATGGTATTCGTAGCACTTCCAATACTGTGCATATATTCACTACTGAACAAAACACACACACACACACACACACACACACACACACACACAGGCAGACTGACTGTAACACTGGTGAAGCCACAACCTTTATATCAGGAGCAGGACTGGCCCATGTTTACAACTTTAGCAGCACTCTTTCTGCAGCCTGAGGAACATGTACCTGTGGTGAGCTTCACGTCGGTACTTCTTCATGGCCACGCCATCCATGTTGGCTGGAAGGTCGGCATAGTTCTGCAGACGGTCGCTCCATGAAGTCGTCATCTTGAACAGTTAGAATTGTTTCTGGGAAGAGAAGGGCTGCCTACTAAACCTAGAACCACGCACACACATATATATATACACACACACACAGAGAGGCAGTCAATCAGCTTGTGCAGCTAGTGTTTACATATGTGAGATTGTTGACACTCTTAAAGCGACTATAGATTTCCACTCAGTCTACTCACAGGGTGTGACCTGATGAGACAATACCCTGAACAGACCCTCAGCATGCTAAAGCACGGATTTACAGACCGACGTGCAGTCAGCAAGAGTTCACCTCTGACCTCAGAAGACAAGGTTACACACATTACTGCAGAGTCACATTTAACACACTTTCAAAATGCAGCAAAACACTATGACATATAATAAGGGTACAAACCATAGACTTAGTCATTTAAGGCAGGCTGTATCATGACTTCCTGTTGCTGACCACTAACAAATTATCAAGTCACTATGACTTTATGTGATTAGTTCACACTTCATATTCCATCAGTGAACGAATTCACACAATTCATATGCGACCAATTAGATGGATTCTTCTTACATAAAAGTTTATATTTCAGGCCCATGCATTTTCTCAGGGAATAGACCCAGGGGGATTTTTACACATTTACAACAAGTTGTTTTTTGTATTTGTTCATGAAAGCAGGGGAGCTTAGTTAAGTTAGAGTAAATACATACAAACCTAACGTCTGTGTGAACTAATCGGAAAAATGTCATAGTGTTTTTACATTTGTTAGTGGTGAGCGACAGGAAGTCATAATACATCCTGCATTATTTCATGCATCAAAGCTGCAATAGGTAAGTTTTAGAAAAATAAAGTCTCATTCCTAGGGCATCAAATACAGACGCTCCGGGACTCTGGGAATGAGACTCAACAATCAACTATGTTTCTCTGCTCTGATTGGTTGTTTTCATTCAGGCCCAGTGGACTCTACAATCCCATCAGGAGCTCCAGGAGGAGACAGAGGAACCGGATCGTTCACAGATGTTCTGCTGTCAGGATATAGTGACTTTAGCATGATTTATAAATGTTTACTACTGCAGCTTTAAACATGAACTAAAGTATATGAGTTACACCCTTAGAATGTGTTAGTTACCCCTAAATGTGATCCACCAAGGACATTTGATTTGCAGACTACATTTTAAAACTGGGCTCTCTGGTTGATTCCACCAAAAACAGCCAGCAGGAAGGAAGTACACACACACACACACACACACACACACACACACACACACACACACTAGTGCGTCTTGCAAACAAGAGCAGAAACACGGAAAGAGGCTAAGCTAAAGTTAGCTCGGCGTCCTGTACAGATAGTGTAATGCTGAGAGCTAACATTAGCCCGGTGTCGGTGGCCGGGCCGTTCGGTTCTCATCATCTAACGTTAGCTATGCGACATCGCTCAGACAGCTGGACGTCAGTTAACGTTAGCTCCGCCAGCCGCTGCGTTCACTCAGCCTGCTAACGAACCCAACTCGTGACTACATTAACACTACCGTACTAACGTTAAAGGTTTGAGAGCAGCACATTAACGGGTCGCTGTGGCGGCCATAGCCACCTCTACTCCTTAGTTTAAACATGACTCATAACAGCCGTTAACAAACCCAGTCAGAGACACAACAACAACAACACTCACCGTCTTTATTGTCCTCTTCTTCTGCTTCTTCTTCTTCTTCTGTGAACTTTCACGGCAGTTGGCATCCTTAACGCGACATTACTGCCCCCTTCTGGACATTACATAAACATAAATAAATAAATAAATGTAGAAATATAAATCAAAGAAAAATAAACACATTCGGATAATACAGAAATAGCCATTGTCATTATCAAAACCATTATTTATGTTTCTTTTATTAATTCATTTTATTATTTATTTACTTATTTATGCTTATGTCATGCATAGATCATTTTTGTCCATCATCACTTTCTTCCCTCCACACAGTGACTACACTCTGTGGCTACATTCACACTGCAGGCACAAGTGGCCCAAGCCTGATATTTTCAGTTTTTTTATGACAGTGTGAACAGCACAAATCTACGGTGGCCCTGAGGTGCAAATCACAACAGCAAATCAGAAAACACAACGACATTAACCAAACCGGAAAAGGTAGGTACCCTCGGCGACATGGGTCGTCACTGATTGGACAGAAGAACTGGTCCGTCCTTTGAACCGGAAACACAACACCACCAGACCTATGTGTTCAAGTTGCCAAATCTGAAAATTCAAACCACTAAATAAGGAAAATATTGTATTAATACGTCCGTGTTAATGTGGGATACCTAAGAGAGGTAGAAACAGGGGTTCCAATAGTCCATATCTATGTGTTTTCTGATTTGCCGTTGTGTTTTCTCTTTTTGTGTTGTGTTTTCTGATTTGCCGTTGTGATTTGCACCTCAGGGCCACCGTACAAATCACATGGAATGGAATCTTTTCTGTCAGAGACAGGTCAGACTGTTTACAATGCAACCTCAGTGTCCACACAGTCATATCAGATCTAGATCTAGGTCATGCAGGGCACTTCAGGACCATGACCTGTTCACACATTTCAATACAATTTTGTGAACAAACAAACAAACAAACAAACGCTGTCCAATTATCTGTCCGCTTATTGTTAGCTGTTCTTTCCTGTTAGTTCCCTTACCTCTTACCTTACCACTACTTACATATCTTTGTTGCATTATCCAAATACTGTTGCCTCTGGTAATGTATTTCCCTTCACACTATGCTTCTCTGATCTCTCTTCTGATTCTGAAAGAAAAATTCCTTTTTGGTGCTTCTTTTGCCTGCTTTTTGGTTTCCGGGGTACCTGAATATGTTGGGAACCACATGACTGTCATACTTTGCTGTTCAAGGTAAAACAAAAAAAGTGAATTGTGCGATGTCCAACCCCAGTTAGCTAGAAGTACCGGCCAAAAGATAACAACAAAGGAACAGGAGACTGTCCACACAGAAATGCCAAAGCTCTCAAGTTTTTATTAGTGCAATGTTGTATCAGTAACAATTAATGGGATTTATTTTGTTTTGTGTGTGATTAAAATGATAGACGTGATATACACACAGTATAGATATCGATTTTTCTGTGAGGCTCAATGTATCTCAGCTGGAATAAAACATGCTATACCCCCACTAGAACACTACGTTCTCTGAATGCTGGGCTACTTGTGGTTCCTATAGTCTCTAAAAGTAGAACAGGAGCCAGAGCCTTCAGTTACCAAGCTCCTCTCCTGTGGAACCAGCTTCCAGTTGTGGTTCGGGAGGCAGACACCCTCACCACATTCAAGAGTAGGCTTAAGACGTTCCTCTTTGATAAAGCTTATAGTTAGGGCTGGATCAGGTGAGTCCTGAACCATCCCTTAGTTATGCTGCTATAGGCCTAGACTATCGGGGGATTTCCCATGGTGCACTGAGCTCCTCTCTTCCTCTCTCTTTCTGCACTCATTCATGTCCCATTAATGCATGTTACTAACTTCACTTCTTCCCCAGAGTTCTTGTGCTTTCTCGTCTCGCAGGTTCTCATGGATCCTGGTGGAGCCTCCTGCCATGGTCCTGCTTGACTCCCACTGCTAATATCACTGATATTGTTTATTATTATTATTATTAATTATAAAAATCTCATTAAAAATATATTAATTATTATTAATATTATTATTACTACAGTTACTATTATTACTATAATCACTGCTCATTGTCCCCCATCGTTGCTGTTGTCGTCGTCATCATCTTCTTCATGTTCATCATCATCATCATCAGTCACTACTACTACCTATTTGAAAAGTGTCCTGAGATAACGTCTGTTATGAATTGGTGCTGTACAAATACAATTGAATTAAAAATTGAATTATATTAATATAATTTTACTTTGCTAAAAAGAATTCTGAAGTTTCACAAAAACCAAAAAATATTGTCTCCATAACTTTTAATAACCATATTTTATACAAAATGTGACAGAAAAATATAATTTCATTGAGCAGGTAACAAAGAGCGTGTATACAGAGGGAAGCAGTGATGAAGACCACTGTTCACTGCTGCCTACGTGAGGAAGTGCTGCATTGACCCTTCCCTAAGTCCCACCCCTTTTAGCTCTGTGCTCCAATAACAGTTGAGAAAACCTCAATCAACTTCCTCCTTTCCTGTACTTAGATATGCTATATGCTAGGCTAATCTATGTTGAAACAACCACATCATGAAGATGGTCAGAAGGTCGCAGTGACATATATAGCCACATCTTAAGTTAGCAAAATGCTAGCTAACAACCAACTCATTTACATAAATCATTATTTAGCTAACTAGCTAGTGTTTTGCTAACATTAGCCAACTTAAGATGTAACTATATATATATATATATATATATATATATGTCACTTTTAACTTTAGACCATCCTCAGAATGTGGTTCTCCTTTCAAAACAGATTAGCCTATTTTACATATCTAAATCCAGGACAGAGGAATCTGAGGGGGGGCAATTGGAGAAAGAGCCCTCAGTGCACAGTCAGCTTCCCAACAGAGTGTATCCTCCACCTGCACCTGTCAGTCACTCCCTTTGTACGTACACACACACACACACACACACACACACACACTGATGGATGTGTGTGTGCTTTCAGAATAAACTCACTGATGGTAATATTTTCAGATCATGAAATATCTACAGTGAGCAAACTGTTTGTGAAGTAGTGAACCCAGCTCTGATGTGTGCAAACTACATCCTGCATTACATCACATTAATTACACTGAAGAGTCACTCAAAGACACTCCAGAGCTTTCATTCAGTTTACCTAAATATTCTCTACTCAAAGGGCTACATGAGGCTACACATCATGGCATCAGAAAACAACACCAGTGTGACAGCGGGCTGAACACAAGGGCTAATAATCAGCAGAAGGGAGCAGAGAGCTGATCATTTACCCATCCTGTGTGAGGAGGAGTGGGGCAGTGAATCTACAGTGTGCTGCTGGGGCTTTTCAATAATCAATAAAGTTTTTTTAACATTTCTATAAAAAGCATTTCAGCATGATTGGAGTTTTTACAATATTCTATAATTATTATATATAATATTCTATATAAATATTAAGCCTGGTTCTACCAGACTACACTAGCTGGTGCATTTTCCAATTTATGGAACAGTGATTTAAAAAAGACGGACATGCCAATGAATATGTAAGTGTTAAATCAAACTAAGACAGAAGACTGACTGAAGACAGATCATGATACTGTAGTTTGTCATACCCAGTCCAGCCATTTAAAAAAAAAAAGTGTATGCATGCTCACACATTTCTTTTCCTAAAAGACTAATCGGATTTAAAATACTTTCAGAGAAAGCATGTAAAAACTGTCTCCATCAATAAGAGAGGAGAAAATAAAAACCTGACAAATTGATTGGCTACCCTACCTGACAATTTTCCTTAAAAACTACATTATGCGTCTTTTAATGGACAAACAGACGTGGCTATGTTGGGTCTGTGGCTCTGTCATCAGTTCAGCTACAGTAGAGTCTGAGTCACACACACCTAATGTTGGCAACGCTCATGCATAGTCCTGTACATGTCAATCAGCTGTAAATGTTGTGTAATTTTAGATTCAAAATGTGCACGAGTGTGTTGGACACATTGAACACATCAGTTCATATAAAGCAGGAACTAGCTGAAGACACCAGAGTCCAAATACACAAAGTTGTTCTGTAGGTTTGTCAGTGAAGGTGACAGGTGAGCTTAAAGATCGGTGAGAGGACTTCATGTGCAGCATTACTAAGAACGGACTGTTTTGTACAGTATGTAGATGTGTGGCATTCCTGTGAGTGCTTCGGCTGCAGTTCAGATGCTGTTCAGTTTGAACCTGGCCTTGTTTGGACAAGGCAATCCCAGCTCACGTAGCATAAGGCTGTTAAACAGCTGAAATATACTACAATTTAATACTGATGCCCTTTACATGAACTACATAAACAAACTCGGCCATCAGCAAGAAGACTGGCTATTTCTATATAGTTATTCTTAAAAAGAACCAGTGTGTAGCAATTAGGGCCATCTTCACCCTCCCCTTCAAAGCATGAAGGGTAAACTACGGTGGCTGTTAAACACGAAAAACATAGATATAAAAGTCTCATTCTAAGGTAACAAAAACACAATGATTCTTATTTTCAGGTGATTATACACTAATGAAAACATAGCTATGAATATTATATTCCATTTCTGACAATAGATCCTCCTCAATGTTACACACTGGACCTTTAATGCCTGCCTCCGGTTGGATTCACCTTGTAATCAATAAAAGGGGACCTGAGACATTACAGAGCTAGCTACCACTCAATCAGCTGGACAATTCTAGATTACCACTGATATATCAGTATCAGCTTATACACAAGAACCAACAAGAAATGCAAGAACAACAATGTCGACGGATTGCTTGAAGAGATTTAGAAACGTCGTCTCCTTTACACAGTTTGTCTACAAGAGGGGGCTGACATGTAAAATGTCCTGTGAAACCAATCACTGTGACGCTGCTCTAACACTTCTGGGTAGACAACTAGTTGATTTAAAGAGATATGTCAAATCTGCAAATGTGTTGATTCCTGCCTGTTCATTTTCAGCATTTAAAGATTAAATACTGCTGTGCTTATGTTATAGACTGCTTTGCTAGCGGCTTTGATAAACCAAATATATCCAACAGCAACATCTCACCGTCCATCAGATTAGCTCTGGGTGAGCTCAAGCCTCATTTTCTGTGGTCCAACAAGTGCATTAGGTCTCCAACCTAACGTTAGTCAAAGCGTTATTAATGATATCAAAAAAGCATAAAACGTACATTTTGATGAATGAGATGTTAAACTTTATATTTGACTTTTGTTCTTGTTTCATTGATACTGTGTGATTTTAAATTGTTTATTTTTATTGTTATTGTTTTTGTGTGGACTCCAGGAAGATTAGTGACCAGTTTGTGGAAGCTAACTGGGATCCAATTTAAGAGTAGCAGATGTCTCAATTTGAAATAACACCCATTGCTGTCATTAAATTGTATATAAATGACGCAGCAGTTGTCTACCCAGAAGTTATTGTAAACAAACACTGTGATTGGTTCTATATATGATCAGATTGCTGAGCGTTGCAGCGATCCTCGTCTAATGGTACAGCCAGTGACAGAGCAACAGCCCCTTTAGTTACATGAAGTACTGTGAGAACAATAGAACAAAGTAAAAGAACCGTGTGAGCAAAGGTGAAAGAACGGGCAGCTCATCACCACAAGTAGTAACTGTCCAAACTTCAGCTTGAAAATGGAAAACATTTATCCATGCTTGGAACCAGACGTTGCATAATGTAGCTTTCAATGTCAATGTCTCCAGGCCCGTCACAAACAGTCAAACGTACACAGGTAGAAACAGACCAAGGTATAATATTGCATCTGTGACTGCTGCAGAGTTATGTTTCAGGACTGCAAATATTAAAGACATGATTGTGGACTACCTAAGAGACTGTGGCTCTGTGTCCACAGCTGTGTGTCTGTCTGTGTTTTCATGAATGGCTTCATCATTAATATGGCTGTGTTCAAAGGTCTGGGGACCTGAGCCATCACATGGGTCCTCCATTTGCCCCGTCCTCTCTTCCTCGGTCTCTTCTTCTCTTTCTAAAAAGCTGTGCTGATCCCACAGTTCCTGGCCGTCGCACACTTCGATCCCAGAATCCCCTGTGAAGCGCCGGTACCTGCCCGGCGTCAAGTCCTTGTTGGGGTTGTAAGCGCTGTGAAGGTGGCTGTGCGTGACTTCTGGAGTAGCGGGGAGTGCTACGTCAGCATCACTGGTGGAAATCGCCGAGTGTAGGCAAGGAGATTCCTCGGGTGGGTCCATGGGTGGAGGTGCTGACTGAAGAGGGGTGTAGGGAGGAGGAGGCGTGGCTGGACGGTCAACTACCTCTTCATATGCTGGAAGCAGGTAAGTGGGCAAGAATCCTGGAGGAAAAAAAAACAATACAGACAGATATTAAAGACTACAGTATATCAAAGTCTCAGTCGTTACGCAATGGCAAAGGCAAAATGTTCTCCCTGTGGGCTCCGAAGCCATGCACAAAACCACCAAGTGTAATCAAGGTGTCAGACAAATAAAGCTGGTATTTTCCAAATGAAGTTCATCTTGTATGAAAATCCCTATTTGCTTGTAAGTAAGCAAGTAGAAAACACTAATTTTGGATAATACCCACTTGATTTGTCTAATTCAAAAAAGGCTCACTATCTTCAGCTGAACTTAACAATGCATTGCATTTTTACACAGATCAAGCACTGTGGTCAATTCATGACTTCAATTAAATTGCTTTAAAAAGGGACAGTTCACGCACAAAATTTAAAAATACATCTTTCCTCTTACCTGCAGCGCTATTATTATCCAGCTAGTTTGTTTTGGTGCAGTTTCATGGAGGAACTATTTTCTTTCTGTAAACAATAATGGTGTCGTCCTCGTTAGCTTGAGCTAGCTAACGTTTCAGCTGAGATAGCTAACATTCAGCTAGCAGTTGGTGGGTGTAGTTCAGTAGAAAGAAAATAGTTCCTACATGGGTCATGGTTTCTGGAAAGGAAGCTTTTTTCCAGAGTTTTTTAAATGGATTTATTTGGTGCTTTGAGCTCCACGTGCCCAGTGCCATCTGGTTCCATCATATTGAAGAGAAGGCCAATATGTCCAAAACTCAGCAACTCACACCAAATCCATCTAGATGGATAAATAGCTCTACAGGTAAGAGGAAGAAGATGTATTTTGGATTTCGGGGTGAACTGTCCCTTTAAGAAGAATTTTTGCAACTAGTATGGGTAGTCACAGGGTCAAACTATTACAGGGTCCTTGCTTTAGGAGTTAAATCTGCACCATTCCACTGGTGGAGTAGCAGCAGCTCAGGGGATGGTAGTTCAGTCGGAACTTGTTGCTCAGAAAGATAAAATCTTCTTTCCCATTTTGTTAGTATGATGTGATGAGGTAATATGAGCTGGAGGCTAACTATGTGTGGCATGTGCAGAGGCAGCAGCGTGTCAGGCAGCTACTTACTCAGATAGAGGGGCAGCTGAGAGTTGTTGTGAGCCTCTCTGTAAGCAATGAGGTTGATCTCGTTCTGACGGCGCTGCTGCTGGAAGCGCTGCTTGGAGCGCCAATGCTGACAAACACAGCAACATGTCAGGATAATGATCAGAGTCCACACCAACCAGAACCCTGCAGGGAGAACACAATGTGTGTATCAAGACAAAATTAATACATATTACACAACACACAAATGGTGCAAAAGCAATTAATCTATAGATTAATTGACAATAAAAATCAATCTGAACTTCAGTATTGACAGAAAAAGATACTATATCCATTTTATTATATTTTCTTCATTTTCAAAATAAGCCAAGCTTCTCAAATGCATCAGTTTTTAATTTCGTGACACTAAAATCAATAAAACTCAACCTGTACAGGAGAAAGTATAAACAATTATTTTTTCTTCACTTTCAGAGCGTGTTTTTTCGACACAGAGTCAATGATGAAAAAAGTAATGAGATCTGACACCCTGTCTTAGTTACTATTAATGCCCCTTCCCACTCATTTTAAGAAATCATTTCCCAGATGTTTTTAAATACAGGACAGCATTTTAGTCAAATTCCAGGTGTTTCCATGACTGGAAAATGAGTCTTCCATTAGGTTTTCCAGGATGCATGAAAACCCTGTTGGTATCAAAAAACGTCCCTGAGTGCACTCTTCTATTTAAAAATACCAGAGATTGCTCTGAAAGGCTGGGTGTCTCTTATTAAAACAGCATTCTGCATTCTGAGAGGCAACCAGGTGGGGCCAAGTAGCAGCAGCACAAACCGTAAACATTTACACTCAATGAATGAGGAAGAGTGGGTAACTCACACCACAGCTCATAGTAGTAGCTGCAGCACTGCGTCTCTCCACAGCAGTGACCTGACTCGCAGATGTAGCTCTGGTTGTTTACTCCCTGGCACACCAACCTGGCCTGTAAATACACACACACACACACACACACACACACACACACACACACACACACACACACACACACACACACACACACACACACCGATCTGTCACTCACACTGGATTGAGGAAGCTGGTGAAGCAACACACAGCATACTGACACAGTAATAACAAGAGCTGGGCTTTAAAAAAAAAAATACATTAGTTAGCATGACACTTTCTAGCATCCCTTGCACATTATAAATCAGTCAGTTGAATTTTTTGTTATCCACAAACTATGTAACAGCCTTTATTTTTATTTAAATATTACCATACACGTGTGCTTTTGGATATGTTTTCTAGTAGAGCTGCAACAGTTAGTCGATTAGCTGTCTACAGTTAAACGAATCATCAACCATTTTGATAATCGATTGATCATTATGAGTCAGAATAAATGTCCACATTCTGATTTCAGCTTCTCAAATGTGAATTTTCTGCTGTCTTTTGTCCTCTATGACAGTAAACTGAATTTCTTTGGGTTGCGGACAAAACACCTTGGGCTTTGGGAAACACTGAGCAACATTTTTCACCATGTTCTGACATTTTCTGGACCAAACAACTAATGGATTAATCAAGAAAATGGTTGACAGCTTAATCAATAATAAAAGTAACTGTTAGTTGCAGCCCTAAATTCAAGTAAAGTTTTGTTATAAACACTGTAATGCATACGTTATAAAGCTTTACTGGAGATTTCAAATATTACGTAAATATATCATGTAGCCCTGCTCTCCCCTGCAGAATGCCCATTCATTTTCTGTAAATGAACTAATCGATTATTGGGCTAATCATTTCAGCTTCAGCCAATATCATTATTTCACATAGTTGCTTTTCTTGCTGAAGGAGGCACACTTGTGGCTCAGTGGCCCAGAAACTGTCTGGATCTAACCGAGTAGAGCTTCTGGAGTCAGATATCATGTTGCCCAAGTAAACAAGGCTGCGTCCCTCTGACCTCACTGGAACTACAGGCAGCCACTACTGCATTAAACTCTTGTTAAACTACCAGTCCTATCTGCAGCAGTAACAATACTTCTCTGCAGAATACTTTTAAATGCATAATACAGCTAATCAGTCAGTAGGAATAAACTCCAATGTGTCACTTTCATTCATCACTGTTTTCCACATAGTGCTTACAGACCTACTGCTCTCATGTGATGGGTAGTTACTTTGGTAAAGGCAGAAAAACACTCAAATACCAACAAACACATAACATGACTGTCGACAGTCCTTAGCTTGTGTTTCTAGATTTCCGTGTTTTTACAGACAGGTTAGGAATTTTGCAAATGTCATATTCCTTAAAAAGGAGGTTAAAGGTCATAATTTACTGACACTGGGAATCTGAACAATCAAATATCTTCAAGCCACCAGCCCGGTCTCTTTCTAGCTATCTCTGCTCTGATTGGTTGTTTTCATTCAGGCCCGGTGGATTCTTACAATACCATCAGGAGCACTAGAAGGAGCCAGAGGAACCTGATTGTTTGAAAGATTATCTGTCTCATGTTCTACTGTCGGGATATAGTGAAAGTTTCAGCTAATGTGACAAAAAGTTATTTTTATAAAAGTGACCTGCTGCAGCTTTAATTAGCAGTAGATAAATATTAATCATGGTAACTTCATTTCTTTCTAAGGTCAAACTGTGATATGGTAATAGCAGATGCAGATTATCTCAGTCTTTTTCTTTAGTCACACATTCTGTCACCAAACAGTACAACGTATTATATCTCAGTAGATAGGATGTAGTTAACTAACAGTGAGTTGAATATGTTTGCATGTTGCTGGGATTTGTGTGTAAAAGGTGTCATGTAACTAACGTTAGCTACTTTAAATCTATGACTTATTATAATATATGAACAATCATTCAAACACAGTAATAGCCCGGGTTCCTGATACATAGTATGGTAGATTATCAGATCATTCTCGGTATCATTGTTTAACATAAAAAAAAAACGTTACCTAAGTTAGCCTGGTCTAACTTGTCGTTTTAACAGCACTGCTAACTTTAGTAACGTTACCCATGTTTGTGACTGTCGGCACGAACAGGAAACTGGCCTAACGTTACGAGGAAGATAGCTTTTAAAAACTCAACCAACGACCTTACAGCCAGCAACCACAGAATGAAATAAATATGGATTGGCAAGTCAAAATAGGGCTAACACGTTTTAGCTAGCTGGCTAACTAAGTTAAGGTAGTTAGCTAGCTGAAGCTGCCTACCAGTTAACGTTAACGTTAGGTAACTAAAGAGCGTCGGGTAATTAACGTTAACTAACGTTAGCTGTTAACGTTACCTCCGCAACTGTGGCCGCCGTCGCTGAATTTTCTTGTCCGAGCTTCAGTGACCCCATTACTGAAAATATTACAGACTGTTATTTCTTTACCACTAAACTGTTGAACGGTCGCATTGTTAACAAGACGTCGGCCTCGATGGCTGACCCAAACAAAACAACTCCAGCTAAACTTCAACAATCCTTCCCTCAGGTCCCGCCCACCCGTCTGCGTCACTTGTCACCAGGCAGGCGGGGTCAATTTAACCTCAGTGTTCCATAGGTGATCATTTCTAAGTAATGCAGGGGGAAGTTAAATAGTATGGAAGCCCATTTCCGCCAATGGGAAAAAAAGATCTCAAAAGAATGGCTTAGTATCTCAGAATAATGAGGAGGTTTCTCAATATTTTCACCTAGTACCTCAAAATGATGACGCTGTGATACTAATTATAATGATCATTATTTTGTGATGGTAAGTCAGTAGTTTGAGAAACGTTCTCAGTAAAATGTCTTACAGAATCCTTTTTTTCAACACATTGGTGGAAATGGGCTTCCATAGTATAGAATTACTAACAATATATTATTATTGTAATAATGGTTATTTAACCAGTTCATCAAGAAATAGAAGGCTTTCAAATGCTGTGGATGAAAGATGTGCAGTGTTTTAGAACTAAACTTTTTTACTAAAGGGACAGTTCAACCAGGTTACTAAATAAATAAATTCTATATTTTCTCACAAATACTTGTGGTATTTACTAGAGCAGTGGTTCCCAACCTCCTTTCCTTTCCTTTTCTATTGTTGAGTAAATTGATTACCCCTGAATTAGTGACATATTTTATGTATATTTCATATTGTATTCAATGTATAACAATAACAGTAGAGAACAACTGATAAACTGTACAATGAATCCAAACAGTGAACACAATAACTGCAGGAAGTTTTCATGATATTTCTAACTTTTTATACAATTCCCTGTCTGTATTATGTGGATCCTGTCAGTTGTCTGCTAGGTGTGTGGGTGCACCAGGCTGTTTGGGGCGATACCTCCATTCACACTACATCCATGACCACTGATAAAAGCAGTTTCTGTCTGACTTTCTAGTCCCCACAATGAATATTCCTGAAAACTGAGCTTTGGTCCTTCAAGACTACCTTCACTCAAGCCTTTCAATCTTTGTTATTCAAAAGAAATGTGACATCTCTCTCTCTCTCTCTCTCTCTCTCTCTGCATTGTGTCTGTACTAGTATTTGTAATTAGTTTGTGCTAACTTTAAGCAAAAATGTATTTAGACATTAAAGGTCCAGTGTGTAACATTTAAGAGGATCTATTGTCAGAAATTCAATTAAATTTTCAATTCAGTTTTATTTGTATAGCGCCAATTCGTAACAGTTAGTCAAAAGTTATCTCAGGACACTTTTCAGATAGAGCAGGTCTAGACCGAACTCCTTATTAGTTCCAACTGCAACCTTACCACTAGATGCCACTAAATCCTACACACTGGTCCATTAAAGAGTCTTACTCAGAGCCCCTCTACAAGATGGTGTAATTATGCAGGTGCCACCTTAAGACCACTATCATTGCACTCTATATTGTGTTTTTTTCTGAATACATGTTTAAAAAAACACATTACAAAGAACACGTTGCCTGCTGTTTACAGAAACTCAGCAAAAGTGCCCTCTTGGATGCCCCTATGATAGATAGAAAAACATGAATTGCCATCTCGGGTGCCCTTCTAGTGGACAGAACAAGGTAAAGTGCCCTTCTCGGTTCTAACCCTGACTAAGATGTTTGAGCATAAAAGCATTACAACTTTTATTTTTTCAACGCTGCCCTTCAAACAGCCACCACTGGTTCTATGGATTATATAATGAACCTGATGAAGGCCACAAACTGAAACATGTTCTTATGATATAGTTATTATACTGCAAGTGTTTCTGGAGTTTTGACCTCTTCAGTGTTCGTGCTGCACAGGTTGTTGAAACAGAAGCTGACTGACTGAATTTCTTTGCAGTGATATGAAATCGGCCTGCCAAACGTCAAGTGAAGTTCCCTCCGAGCTCTCTCCCCTTCCATCTCCCTTGGTTCTCTCTCCTCTCCTCAGCGCCAGCCCTTTGAACCTTTCAGCCCAGTTTGAGGGAACAAAAGCAAACAAATCACATTGTCCTTTCAGGAATTTTGGCTTGTTGGCTGCCTTTCATGACCTCTTCTTTAGGCACCTCTCTGCCTCTCCTCATTCAGGGTCCCCAAGAAAGTCAATGGTTCCTTACATCCCGGTTTGACAAGTCAGGAGGATACACGCTAATCCCCTTAATCTGGCCTTTCTCCCGCGCGCAGCCACAGGGAGAGAGGGACCACAGAGAGTAATCCTGTCGGAGAAACAATAGGATTAAGGGCCCAACCCGTGAGTGACAATCAGGTATCCACTGACTGATCTGCAAAGCAGGAGCCCCGGCCACTCTCTCTTCAATGTGACTTTATTTTTGTTTGGCGGGCCCGAGAGGGATGGGGGTGAGGCAGGGGAGGGACGGGTGGGTAGTGACGGGAGGAAGGGTATTTCTTTGAGGGGCTGCTGGAGGTCTGACAGGCCTGTGGTCCCCTAAGCACCAGGGACCCGGGAATGACTGACAGGTGAGGGGTAAGAGCTGGGAGGGTTTGGTATGGGGAGCTGGGAAATGTGTATGTATGGGCTGGGGGGGATTTCGCTTCATATTATTTTATATTGTTTATATTTCAGATATATATTGATGGGACAGGTGGTGCAGGGACACACATCCTGGATACTCAGTAGATAGTTTCCACTATGGCATATGGCATAGATAATGCTATTTTCCTTGTTATATTACCTTTTAAAACAGGAGTTCCCCAACTTTTTCAGCACGAGACCCAAAAAGATAAATATAACAACTTACAAAAAACTGCCATAACATATACATTTAAAAACCACTAATAAAGAAGATACACACTAGGCACCAACAAACACATGAAACAATTCAAATGCTTCACACGACTGACTTACTGTCACTGCCCCAATCCTGCCTTCTGAGCTCCAGCTCCCCATTGGTGTTAGAATTTAAGATTTTCCTGATCACATTTAAAGCACGTCTGGGCTGGCACAGAGCTACATAGCAGAAATGTGAACCCCTTATGAGCCAGTTCGCAGCCTCAGGCCTTCTGGCTGTTCGAAAGTCGAGGATTGAATCTAAAGGTGACTGTGTTCTTGCCATCAGGACCCCTTGGCTGCCTGAGGAGATAAAGTTTGCAGAATCAGTGACTACTTTTTGCATTTTTATAGATTTGCCTTTATTTTTTATGGCTTCTACTTTGCTCTTATTATCGTACTTCTGGTATTCATTTCTTATATATTAAAAAATCTGTTGGTTAGGTAAGTTATTATTATCAAACTGTCTCTTTAAAGTCTCTCCTTTGCAAAGGAAATCTTTTGACTGGCCCTGATACTGAGAGTGCTTTTTAAGCTGTCATCACTGAGAATCTCCCCACATAAGCAGAGGCCTCTGAGGCCTCTCCTTTGCATTTCCAATGACTTTGGTGAATCAAACAATTACAGTCTTCCTTGTATTTTCTTTTGGACATCATGCTCAGTGTCACCAGAGAGCACAAACCACCAGGCTCCATGAGCGGAACTAGAGAAATATTCACTTTAAAGTCCCATCAAGTCAAAATTGATGTTTATATTATTATTATATCATTGTACATATGTCTAGCATTATATGTCACTTATATTGTATTTTCAGGTATATTTAATGGTATTTTAGAGTAATTTCCTGAGAAACGATAAAAATGTTTTTCACCCAATGTAAAGCTTTCTGTCTCCTTTCATTCAATGAAAGGTAGACTCTGATGCTGGCTCATAGAGCTAGCTGCATAGCGTAACATGCACTCAGCACTATTGGCTACTGTAAACGCAAGTCCCTCCCTAGCTGCTTATTGTTACAAGAAACACATAAATATGAAAAAGCTACGAGCACTCTACTTCCTTTTTCATGGAGACTTGGACGGCAGAAAGAACAGCTGATTTAATCACTGTCAATCACATATATTAATATTTGCTTGGAAAAGCCCCCAAATGAAGATATTAGAACTCAAAAACATTATTGTGGCACATTGGTAAAGCACTGAATAGAGATATCTAAAGGTGGCATTAGAAATGAATACATTGTTTTATTTCAGAAATCTTTTTTGATTAAACTTAACCCTGTCACTTAATGAAAGCGTGATGAATGTGGCCATATAAGATCATAAATTATTAAAAACATGTCATTTTTTTTCTTAATCTAAATGAATGATTTTTGCTGCGTCCTCTCCAGTGAATTGATTATATTTTACTACAATTTTCCTCTAACAGTAACATTTGTTTGGCCACAGCCCATAAGTAACAGTTCAAATTAAGTTGAATTTATTTTATTTTACATAAAATGAATCTCATCTTTTAGACTATTAAAAGAAGAAGCAGAAGGTGTATGTTGCATGTACAAAAAACATTGCTGTGCATGTATTTATTAACATTACTAGGATATTTGGTCATTTTTTTGGTTATCAATTTCCAGGTGTTTTGATGACTGGAAAAATGGGTTTTCTAGGAAGCATGGTAAGCCTGAATATTTTATACTAGATGGATATGTAAATATCCAAATGATGACAAGGGTTCTTGTGGCAGCAAATAATCTGATACAGCAAAGAAAAAATAAGACAGAACTGTGAATGGAGAAGAAACAATGGTATAATCTGGTATAGTGTTTTCATGTTTATCCCCTCCTGCAGCGAAGCCTCTCCTGTTATGGTCAAGATGTGCAGTTCACATTATGAACACTAGATGGCCCCATTGGTATAAATGTCTTCAGCCGGACTCTGTAGCCAAACTGAAGCTCTTCAGGTCAGAGAAAAGGCTTACTGCTCTCTGCACCAACACACTGAATACATTTATCAGTCCAGAAACCCCGCAAACCTCAAGCAGCTTCTGATATCCAATCCTCTGTCCTCTGCCGCAGCAGCCAGGAGCCTCAGAGCTGAAGGAAACAAGCCTCACATGCAGTGAAAAGAGAAGCCGTCCGCTCCATTCAGCTCCAGTGAACTTGGCCAAAGAAAACAGCGGTCGATTCTTCACATCTCCTCGTGTTACGGTGATGGTCTTGTTAAGTGCTGGGGGTAAATTACGGGTTAGCCATTGTGTGAAGAGGAATGAGTCACAGGATGGTGGATTTCCATGTGTGACAGGTGCCTGCAGTGGTTACTCTGTTTGTTTAGGCTAGTTGTAG